GTAAACACAGCCTAATACATGAAATAAGTAAGCTTGTTATTGTGGGTTGAAGAATTTATTAGTGTAGCACAGTACTTCAGCAGCAATGTTAGCTTGTCGGCCTTAAAAAAATCTTAACCCAAAGTTATTTCTCTATTTTTTTTTACTATTTTTGAAAGTTTTGAAAACACTATCATGGAGGGTTTTTTTTCTTTTTTGCTATTTGAGCAAATGGGAACACAAAAACATTTAATGTATTATCTCATTCACCAACTTTGACGACTTCCGCTTCAGAGAAATGTGGGTCTATGAAAGCAAACTAGGCACGCACAAAACATTTGACAAGCGCATGGCGAGTAAATGATACACAACCTGTGCATTTGCATGAGAGACAGAACTTGGAGCACGAGTGTCCAAACCCCAACATGGAACCGAAACCAGACTAGACATGAGTGCCGGGATCTGAACACCATGCTCCAAAAACAAAACGATGAGGGCAGGTGGCTCGAGCACACTTGAAACCACACGCTTCCATAAAGACAAGACAATGCAGGAGTGTCATGGCTCTGCCACAAAACCAAGAAAAAACCAGGCTGAAGTGACAGAACCCTGACAATTCAATTTTATTATATTATTATTATTATATCAAGATGCTCCTTTCATCATCGTTGTAATTGTGTGAAAAAAAAAGAAAGTTTTCTGAAACGGGTAATTGCCATGTGTCCACCATAGCATATTTTCCGGAGGCTAGCATATTTTTCCAATTATTTTGTAAAACGCTAACAGCGTGACGAGGCCCTGAGCGCCTATTTGCGTTTTTTTTTTTTAGCGGTTGCTGAAAGTTGAAGAATGTTCAACTTTGTGTAAAGCACAGTGTTCATTAACTGTCACTTTTTACCAAGCCGTCTAATCACTGTGGAGGAGGGGCGGGACAAATACCACACTGTCCAACCGCCACATCCCGTTTGTACAATGGCAACAGACAACAAGCATAACATTGGAACAAAACAATTCAAAACAAGAGCCAGAGCAAATACTTTACATTGTATATAAAGTACATTTTTATATTGAAACCATACAGAAACAAACTATCTGTGAAATGAGATACCAGTTACACTTCCACAGATATTCCATATCATAGCAAGCAAAGCATCTCAACTGAAAAAAAAAAACTGCCCTGCCGAAGTGCTCTCAAGCGCCCACAGCTAGGCATTTTCAGTAGAGTGGCTGACATTTTCAGCTGGCTAAAAATGGTTTGGTGGACACGTGGCCTATGTGGATTCAAAATGTGGAGGCAGAAAATCTTTAGTTATAGAGTTTGCATGTGAAACATTTGTCAATCACCTGTCATACCTGAAAGTTTCTGACATTGTAAAGTATAAAAACTAACTACTGGAGCACAAAATGCTCTTCTTGCAGATCTCTCTCTCTATCTCTCTCTGTGTCAGGATTTATTGCATTATGTGTTAATATTGACAGTGATGTAGTAGAGGGTCATAGTCTGCTTACTCTGGGCATAGCTGCCTCTTGTATTCCATCTGTCAACTGCAGAAAGAGAGGGAAAGATTACATTAAATTCATTACTACACCTTTTCAGTATCATTCATTTTCAAACTCTCCAGTCCTGGATACGAATTATTCAATACAGTGTTCTAGCTGTGCAAAAATACTCAATATACTATTACATGTATGTGGAACACCTGTTCAACTAGATGCTGTATACTGTTTATTACTGAACAGTACCCATAAATACACTCTGTTATAGACTTTATTTAACAGAATGAATTTGAAAATAAAAATTGAATATGAATTTGGAATGATATACAGTTACATCATTTACAATTAACTGAGAAGTTTTAATACAAATTATGGTGTATTCTGAAGAATTGGCACCAACAATAAAAACCCACAACCCGTTGAAAGGACTATCCCTCCTTTGGCTCCTTAGCCCCATTTTCATTGAAGTTATATGAAATATAATGTCTACTCTGAAAAAGGTTTATAGTGTAGAAGTGTTTTTAAGATTTTTTTTTTTCCAAAGCTATGTCACCCGACAAAGGCTAAACCCATTATACAGATATATAGAGTTGCTCTCTGAAACTCTGAAGATGTTTTGGATTAAATTTCGATTGATTTTATATCAGTTTTCACATTCTGTTTCCTCTGAATCTGAGCATAGCCGACCCAAACCATTTGCTTTCCATTTTACAGCAGGGCTGTTTCAATAATGTTTTGTCACCCCAAATATCTTCCTCCTCCTCTTCCTCTTCTTCTTCGGAAATTGTTTTCTTTTAATTGGTTTCTTTTAAATGAATGAAAATGCCAGACTTACTGAATTTTAGCCTAATTAGTATTAAATTCTTAATTCTATACTATTTGCACTATAATATGTTCTATTGTTTTTTCTATTCAGGTTTTTTACACTTTCAATCATCGCCTTTGGGGTCAATCATAATTATTTTTTGAGTAAATGAATAGAGTAGTTACTGTGATTTGCCTTTGCACAGCAGTCAAAAAATATATAACCAAACATATAACCAAGTGCCCTGAACTGTCATTGCTTTTGCCATAACGATTATGTTGTTTATCTGAGTTTTTTAAGCTCTGGTTGCTGTTGTTAGTTCCAGGTGTGTGTCTGAGTGTTTGTGCATTATAGATGTTCTGCAGGTGGTGATTACAGAAGGTATGTAGTGTGTGTGTGTGTGTGTCTGCACAGCTGCTAATTATATCACAGATTGACAGAAACAGGCACACCGGATGAAAGCTCACTCTAACATATGTATAGATCACATGCCCAAAATAAAGCACACAAACTAACAGTACTTCTTTCTTCTGCTTGTCTCTGTAACCGACATGTGATCATTCAAGCAGTTTTATTATAAACTGAGCTGATTCTACAGGCATACACAACGGCTGCTTCTGCAGAGGAACTGCAAACAGGGAGTTCTTGTCACAGTAAAGTCTGTACTGGTCTCTGACTGTTCTTGAGATTATTTTAATAAAACTAACACAAGTAACCATCAAAGCAGGTGACCTCATCTTGCTGAAAGAGCGAACACACTGACAGCAATTTGCAGCGACCATGAACGACAATGACCGTTGTGTGATGTGATGCAGTTGAGCAGAGATTTCCATGTACTGTTTGAAGGGTATAATATAGAGCTCTAAACTCTTCAACTTAAAATGTATCAGTGAAAGGAGGGAGGTGCTTACAAGGAGGTCAGATCAATTTATATTATATTATATTATTAATATTAAAAAATGGCGTTCAAATTTATGCATTAAACGCACCTACCCTAGACCGATGTAGGTCATATGTCATTTCATACAGTTGATGGTAAAGAACATGATGCATCCCAACACCTCACTGCATGATGTAGCCTAAAAATGCCATTAGAATTTCCCCCTTAAAATTGATACACAACATATAAATGTTGTTATATTTACATCAAGAGATGTAATGTTTACATACATTTTTGGTCAAGATGTTGTATTGACAATGCAAGAGTCCAGCACTCTGTAAAGTCACCTCCAGCACATCCCAAAGACTCAATGAATTTAAGGTCTTTACTCAGATGTGCCAATTCATGTGTGAAAATGACTCTTCATGCTCCCTCCCAACCATTCTTTCACAGTTTGAGCCTGATGAATTTTGACATTGTCATCCTGGGATATGGCCATGATGTGTGTGTCTTCATTCAATTCAATTTGTATAGCGCTATTCACAATACACATCATTTCAAAGCAGCTTTACAGATGTGCATGAGGCCATTTTACAATTTAGAGTGTTTTGTTATCAGAGGTAACTGTCTAAGCTATATGTATTTCAGAAATGTACATATACAAAATCACAGTTTGCTAAAAATGTATTAATGAAAAAAAGGTATTTAATGAAGATACAATGATCTCATTGAAGTAATGAATACTTGTTTGTTACCAAATGGTTATGACATTTAGAAAATATAGTATTGGTGCATGTTGATTCAGAGCTGGCATCATCTGAAGTCTTCACAGGAGTTGGCGCCGTCTTTTCATAGGCGTTTGGCATCTGAAGTCTTCATAATAGGCTCGATCCAAACTGGAACTGAGATACTCTCTAGTTATTCTCTAGTCCCATTCCCAAGATAAAACAGAGAACCAAATACAAAATAATTAGTGTAGCTGCTGTGCATAATGAGATGCATTATATAAATGCTAGGCTAAAGAGATGCGTCTTTATTCTTGATTTAAACTTGGAGACTGAGTCTGAGCCTCGAACATTATCAGGAAGGCTATTCCAGAGTTTAGGAGCCAAATGTGAAAGGATTTTAATTTAATATCATAATAATAATATGTTGATTTAAGCAATTGTAAGTCATCCTGCAAGTTTGCTGAGAAGTTTGTCCTCTTCAAGAACTGTGTGAAGTTTAATTATAGGGAATCTTTTTGCAGAAACTGACATTGTGTGTAATCTTGCCTTGTGACCAAATCTCAAACACCAAATCATCACTGTAAAGTCAATTACTTGTATGAATGCACTGGAAAAACTGAATGATAATTAAAAAAAATATTATGGTTATGACAATGATGAGGATAATTGTGTCTTAAGATCGGGAACTATGGCTAATCGCATGTCTGATAACCTTTGTGGCCCAGTAATGATCAACTCATGAATCCACAGGTTTCTATCAAATGTGAAGACAAATCAGAGCCACGACTCCATTGTGCTTTTTCTCAAGGGTTGTCTTGTCCTTTGGTTGCCATGGAAACCCCTGACTTTGCCTGTCAGGAATGAATCCTGAACCTGTCAAATTGAATGAGCATCAACACACTGCATGTTTGTTAGTAAAGTAGTGAATGTAACCTGCTCTCCCAACCACTATCTGCTTCTGTTATTTATTAGTAATCTTAAGCAAATTAATATGAAGAAATCTCAATTAACCGGAAAAAAGTGGTCAGTTAAAAATGCAAAGATGCTCACTGATCGCTTTCAAAGGTAAAAGATCTCACAATATATTGTTTTTGTCACTTTACATCCACAGGATCAGACTTCCTGTGTGCGACACACATTATTCCAGTGAAGAACGAAGAGGGTGTTGTCATGATGTTCATCTTGAGCTTTGATTACGTGCTAAAGGAGGGTAGCATGGATTCGTTAGACAGACTCAACCACAGCTCCCCATCCAGACAAGAACAAAGTAAGACTGCTTCTCATCTTTTCCTTTTCTCGTTCCCAATCTGTAATGCATTTTTGTCATTTACTGCAGTAAATTGACAACATCTTTCTTAATTGCTTTCTTCCTGTCTCTTACATTTAAACAAATGGAGTGTGGTTGATGAGTAGGACGTGTGCAGGAATAAATATCGAGAAGGCAGAGGAAGAGAGAAAGGTTTTTATTTTCTCCAGTTGCTCTGGCTCACCAGCACATACTGTCAAAACTGAACCCAGTCAGCTAAAAAGGAGGTGAAGTGGAGGAAAATAATTAATGTAACACAGTGTTACATTTATTTGGATTGCTGAGGCCAGGTGCTGAACGGCGCTTCATTCATAGGACAACTGTGCACATTAAACCACCCAATACAAGCAGAGAGAGACTGTGCATGTGTGTGGTAGCGCATGCTATAATTATGGCAAGTGATCATAGAGACCTGGAAGTAACAAAACTGCTGCACTGCATCTTCTGTAAAATATATTATTGCATCAGTATACACACATGTGCAGTGTGCACACACACACATGCCTGATGTCCTCCTCTAACTCTGTATTGGAAAGTCACATCTGAACTATGAAATCCAATTAATATCCAATGCTTATACAGTCTCTGTGGTATCATAGCAACAGGGAATATTTTGAAAAAGACATCTGCGTGTGTTCGTATGCGAGTAAGTTAAGAGGGACTGTTTAGTTAGTGCTGTTATTGTATTAATTAGGGGTTCAAACACAAAGTGCTAAAACCCTATTGTAATTGTACTGATTTTTATTTCCTATTATAACTGCAAAGCTGCTTTGATACAATCTGTATTGTAAAAAGCGCTATATAAATGAAGGTGACTTGACTTGACTTTTTATAAATTGATTATTATTATACACAACATGACGCTTTTAAAACCTGTGACAAAAAATTCCAGCTGGGATGAATAAAGATTTCCTAGATCTCTCTTCCTCTTGAGAGCAAGGCTGAGGGTTAAATTGAGAAAAGGTTCATTGAACCAGCAAAGCAGACACAAACTAGCTAGTAAAATGAAAAGCTTTTCCATCCTGATTCTGTCAATGAATTATTAGGCCTTAATCTGATAAAAATTTAAGGATGTCTCACTCAAAAAAGCCTCTTTTTTTGGGATGCATTGGGCTGTTTTGATGAAGGAGTTATATAAATAGCCCAGTTTGGAGACTTTTAATTAATGCTGGCGTGGTACTGAAACCCCAGGGGAAGAGACAGACAGAGAGAAACTGAGAAATTGAGAAATCACAATGTAGAGATGAAAAAATATAGATTCTCATATAAATATTTAATAATTTTAATTAATAATTTAATATTGTCCCTGGATGCTGTAAGGTTTCTAATGTTGTTTTGGAGGTCTTCTACAAAAGGTTTACATGCATCCATGGTCAAAAACTGCTTTAATTTTCTCTTCATTAGTTCACACTTGCAAATAATCAGATTAAAAGAGTATGCTTATTTGGCTTGCTGTCCAAGGAGAGGGCTCTGAGCTTGTCTATGAGGCAAGTATCCCCTGTATGCTGAGTGTCGGTTCATCTGTGACGCGCTCCAGTTCTTGCAGTCGAAGACAGATAAACTTTGTACTCTCAAGTATCTGTGCGCTTATCAGATTTACCATGTTTTATTGGCCTTGGCGGCAATTATCTTGTCGAAAATATTGCATCGCGTGCTTCTGGCATCGAGCCTGGCACATAGGTACACTTTGGATCATTTCCACATATTTTCTATCCATCTGGGTTGGGACACTTACACGCGCACACACTCACGTGCGACAAGCTACGTCTCTGAGCAGCCGGGTAAACTAGTGTTTTCCGCCACAGCCAATCATGCTGCATGCTTATTGTTTCACTGACGTTGACAAGATTAACCACTTAGGTACCGAAAAACAAGACATTTTTCGATACTCGGTAGTACCAAGGCAATTCGGTTGGTACCTAAAAAGTATGTGTCTTCAAAAACCTCAGAGTAGACAAAGGCCAAAGTGTTGAGAAAAAGATGCATTTTCAAATGTATTCAGAACAGATAAGTGTAGACATACTGTAGCCTCAGACAGCAGAAAACTGCTGACGCTGCTTGAAATGTCATGTCAACTACACAAATACAACAGAAACGGATGGCATGAGCTTTTCTTGGACATCAGTAATGATTTTGCCAAGCTTTCAAGAAGCTCTCCCACACCCAGTGTTGTGATATTGACAATAATATAATGTTTGATTAAGCTGGTCTCACTGGTCCATATATAATTTAGCTGTATTTTATTTTTGGTTGGTAGTAATAAGGCTCAGGTAATAAAAATCCATGTGTCCAAAGGCTGTCTTGCCCTCCAGAGGAGAAAGAGGCATAGAGAGAATTCAAATTTAATGCACCTCCAAATTTTATTGATCAATTTTATTGATGTCCCAGTTTTCCCTACAACAGAGATATTTTTGCTTCTTTAACATTCAGGGAGTTCTTGTTAATGATTCACAGTGTGTGTAGGACCACGTGGCTGCAGAGGTTTTCCTGGGGAGGTCTTCCTCCCCATCAGAGTAACTTTGTTTGACGACTACTATTTTGCTTCGGAGCCAATCGTTTGATGACTCTGATGACTCAGTGGTGTTGTTTACAATGACAAGTGTGTCGGTGTTCTTCTGGAACTCTCCCAGTGCTGGTGGTTTCTAGTGGTGCACCGAAATGAAATTTCTGGGCCGAAACCGAAACCGAAAATTTAGGATGCACTTGGCCGAAAACCGAAACTGAAGCCAAAAAATATATATTTATATTTATATAAAATATATATATATATACACATTTAAATTGTTTGAATTTAATGGATCTGAAAAATCACAAAACCAATAGAATAATCAAACTTTTATTAACAGTTAGGCCTACATAAAAAAACCTAAAATATCTTTAACAATAAATAAACATAAATAATAATACCAAATAATATTATTCTTCAAGTTTTATGTTCCACCAAATAAAATTGTTTTAACAGTTGTGCAAAAAAGATCCACAATTATCTGAATAACTGCACACAAAATCACAGAATGGCAGTGGGCCTCTATTCTGCTGCTGCATGTAAACAATGGTTTCCTTACATTTTAAATTGCTGTGCAAAACAACAGTGCAAAAACAGCAATAGAACTTAATCCAAACTCAAGCTGTAAACAACATTTTGGCCCATCTAGCCTTAGGAAACACAGTTGTGCAGTGCTACGCAAATTTTAATGTAACTGCTATCCACACACAGAAATAGGACTGCTGTTTATTTAAGCAAAAGTGGCAGGATTCTCTTTAAAAACAAAAGTTGCTCAGCTTTTTGACAGGAAAGACGGTTCCTCTTCTCATTAAGAACATGTGATGCTGCACTGAATAGTCTCTCACTGTCTGTGCTGGTGCTTGGGGCAGATAAATACCTGCGCGCAATCCGCGCAAGCAATGGAAACCGGTCTTTGTTCGCGCGCCAGTAGTCAAGGGGATTGTCGCTTCTGGCAATGGGTAGTTCAGCTAGATACGTCTCTATTTGTTGTGCGGCTGCACTTGTTCCGACACCGCTACGAATCGGCGTGCTTTCCTGTAAAATTTCATCAAACATCTCAGAAAGTGAGGGATTGTATGCCTCCTCACTTGTACGTAAGCGTTTCTCAGGCACCGTTTGCGCTGCGCTCCCCGTCGAGTCTCTTCCTTCAACGAAAAGTTCTTTGGCACCGCACCCCCTCTTGAGACTTTTGCTGAACAAATGTTACAAATTGCAACTTTGGTGTCCTCATCTGAAACTTTAAAATACTTCCATACCGCTGACATGGTTAATCTTTGATATGCAGACGCGTAACAGCTCAACCGTGAGTGAAACTAGCGCTTGCGCACGTGAGTGAAACCTAAGCGCTTGCGCACGGATCGACATTAATGTTCGGTTTACATTTTCGGCTGGGGGTTTTTTTTTCGGCCCGAAACCGATAATGCCATTTTCGGCCGAACATTTTCGGCGGCCGAAATTTCGGTGCACCCCTAGTGGTTTCTACAGTGCTGTGCAGCGATGATGGTGAGCTTTAAGCTCTCAACTGCTGCTTTCTAAATGTTTGTAATTGACGGCTGGTTAGAGGGCGAATAGTTGAGTGCTTCACTGTTTCAGTTCACTGTGTAGTGTTGCCGCGGTCATTCCCCTGCGTGCTCCGGCACTGGTGATGGGTCATATTTCCTGAAAGAACAACATGGGTGTGTTTGTGTCTTTTTCAAGATGTCATTCCACCTGTGCGTTTCTGGATGCGGTTGTTCCCTGTTCCTCTCTGACGGTCACAATTGTTGCATCATGTGTCTGGGCTTATAGCACACTGATGCAGCTTTTGTGGACGGTTCATGTTCCCATTGCGGGAATATGACCGTCGCGGTGTTGAGATCGAGACTCGCCATCGTCCGCGAAGCTGGAGTCCCCATTACTATGCCCCACCCCCAGGTGCCGTATGGGATGGGTGATAGGAGAATAGTGATGGATGTCTCACCCGGTAACCATTCTCTGTGGGCTCCTCACTCCTCCATCACACCGGATCCAATGGAATTCCTGTTGAACGTGCTGGTCCCTCTGTAACTGACCGATCAGCCTTTTTAATTTTTGGTCCGCCGCATCTCTGACTTTCTCATGTAAGTGAGAAAGGGTCGACATTGTGAAAAGACAACATTGCGACAATTGTGCTACGCTTCCCTTGCATGTCACAACTCGCCCGTCACCTCCTCCTCAGAGTCAGAAGCTTCTGAGGTCGCTTTATTCCACTTATTACTTCTGGCCAGCTCAATCGTGCAGCTGACGAGCCTCACGACAGCCTATGGCCCAGGGAGAGTGGAGACTCCATTTGGGACCCCCCCCACCGGACTTGTCCCTCTGCCAGTTTGTGTTAAAACCCCACTTCAGTGAGCCTTCTTGCACAAGACTGTGCTAACGTCAGGGAGGAGATGGAAGAGGTCTTGCTAGTTGCCCCTTGGCCTAACCAGACCTCTCTACTCATGACAGCCCTTCCTGACTCCTTCCCCTGAGTGCTTTCTCAGAGACGGAGCACAAGACACCCGCCTTCGGACCCTGGAGAGTCTCCAGGTCTGGTTTCTAAAAAAGAACGGGACGCAGAGGTTCTGGTTACTACCGCAAGGTTTTGCCATAGAGAACCTCACTTCTGTTGAGCACCCTCTCAAATGAGGCTTGCTCCATCTTAGAAGTGGAACCTATTCATTAAATAGAATCTTCTCTCTGTGAGGAGATCCCGAATGTTTTCATTCACTTCAGTGTTTTCCTCCTACTAGATGGGTTGGAGTGAGGCTGTCTCTTCCACCCTCAAAATGTATGTTGTCTCTGTATTGACGTACATCATGATGCAGTAAGGTGCAAATCTTTGGAAAGCACGATTTGATCGTCAGGTTCCTGTGGGGAGAAAGGAGAATAAATCCGCCTTGATCCCCCTCTTTATCTTGGGACAGGAGGTTTGAGTACGAGGCTGGAGAACGCCCTGCCGCACCATCCATGACATGGAGCCCCATTAAGTCATAGAAACTCCCAGATGTCACAGATGGGTGAGGAGGTACTCGTCCCTAAATGCAAACGAGCCACTGATATCCAAAGTGATCCTTACTGGAGGGATGCGGTCGGACCCCCTCGGGCGGTCATGTTGTGGAAATTGGTAACAACAGATGCATCCTTAACAGGGTGTGGGGCCACCCAGGAGGGCAGAACTGTAAATGAACACTTCACTCACTCCATATAAATAATTTGGAGCTCCTCACTGAATCATTTTCTTACCCGTTTGCAGAGGCATCACATGTTGGTACATGGCAACAATACCACAGCTGTAGCACATATCAGCGGCCAAGGGGGGATATGCTCCTCTAAGCTTCATGCTCTAGCTCAGGGTATTAATATTCACCTTCTGTCATTTCGGGGGCGACCCATTTCCCAGGCATACTGAACAGGGGCACAGATAAGGATGGGAACCGAGAACCGGTTCTTCTTCAGAACCGGTGCCAAGTGAACCAATTCCTTAGAACCGCTAGCATGCCTGCTTAACGATTCCGCTTATCAGTTCAGCTCGTTGCAAATGTGTCATGACGTCACACACTCGCTGCGTTGTTTTGGTTCAGAATGCAGAAAACATTGCATCAAGGCAGAAGCGCTCTTTGGTTAAATTTCATGTTAAAAGACGACAATATATGAGGCGCCGTCTAGGGCTTAAATCAAACTTCATTCACGCACACTTACATGAAACTTGTGTATACACATATACTAAGTAGTCAAACATACATGAATACTGCTGAATGCTCAAACATCACACATACAAGATGTGCGGAACTCTCCAGGCACATACTCATATGAGATGCGCGCACGCACAGACAAACTCTCCATGCACATACTCATACGAGACGCGCGCGCACACACAAACTCGCGCACATACTCCATGAGAAACATCACCTGAATCCGCCGCCAAAAACACTTTATCCCACATTTAAACACATTTAAGTATCCGCACCCGATGGTCAAATTACAGTTATTCTGTGTTGTTGCGCATGATTATAAATGGATGATCGTCAGTCACCTTTAACAGCAGACTCAGCGACGGTTGACGCGAGCATCTCTAATGGTAATATTTTACACTGATGAATGAGCGCTGCTTTTAAATGAACATTTCTTTAAAACAAAATTGATTTGACAGAATTTCATTTTCTTAATGGCATAAACAGACTTTAGTCCCATGAAACTTAAACTGGAATGTCACTGTTTCTGTCACTGCAACTTCCCGAACAGGCGAAAAGGCGCACGCATGCGCACACACACACACACACACACACACACACACACACACACACACACACACACACACACACACACACACACACACACACACACATCACTTATGAAGTAAAAGTGAAAATTGAGGATGCAGTGCATCGTAATGTATCGAGATATCGAATTGAACTGAATCGATGACAATCATAACCGAACCGTGAGAACAGTGTAGGTTTAAACTTTACACCACTAATACTCTGTGCTAGTCTTCTGATCAAATATTAAAGTAAGTTAATACAAACAAACAAATTTGTACTTATTCCCTAACCCAATGAGAATCGATAAGAAAATCGATAAGGAATCAAAACAATAAGCAATATCGATAATGTAATCGGAATCGTTAAATTCTTATCAATTCCAATCACTAGGCACAGACCTCTTGTCGAGGGGGAACCGTGGCCCCTCCCATTACCCTTGGACCCCTTGTCCCAAGCGAACTGGGAAATTTAACACCCTCATCTAGACAGGCTTGCCCTCTGTGCCTGGCCCATGAGAAGTCAAACTTAAACACACTGGGGTTCCCTCCACGTGATATTAACACTAGGGCCTCTTCTACACAGTCCCTTTATGACTGTAAGTGCCATGAATTTGAGGAGTGGTGTGAAGGGCGCCGGGTGGTATCATATCAGTGCTCAGTTTCTGATATTTTGTGATCTCTGCAAGACCTTATGAATGTTGGAAAAGCTTTTCAACATCCAACCCTCTTATATTTAGATTTATGAAGGGCGTTCATCGTTCTCTTCCAGTCACTAGAGGAGCGGTTCCAGTGTGGGCTCTCTCCATGGTGCTGGAGGCTTTGTCTCTACAGCCTTTTTCTGAAAGCATGCTGCACTGCTACAGCAAATGCTGACCAAGTATTTGAATGTTGAGCAGCAAGCTCATTTGCTACTTAAATAGCAGGAACCAATCAGCTGTGCCATATAGAGAATGATGTGATTGCAAGCAGATTGAGTTAAGGACCAATAAGCCTCCACCATCTACTTTCATGACAGAACTTTGTATTTAATTTAGGCTTTTATTCACATATAAACATTCATCACCACACACATCAGATATGGTGAATGGAAGCTCAAGCATGTTTGCAGGTTCATTCTCATGTGTGAACGCAGCATGTTTAAGCTTCTGCTAGAACCAATAAGGTTAAGTACTGTTGAGCTTTTGTCTATGTTTGCTTGTTATATAGTTATAACAGGGACGGAAATCTTTCAGATTTCATTTAAAATATATTTAATGCTCTTGAAAAAACTCCCTTAATTGTACAGGGTCCCTTATCTAGAATTTTGAATTCCCCCAAGCCCCCATTAATTTACAACCCTGGAGAAGGAAATGTATTTTTAATTACATTTTATACAAAATAATAAAATAATGCTTCTTTATGGTTACCTTTCCTGAAACCTGCTGTCACTTTTTTTTTTTTTTTCAGAAAAAGGCCGTTTCTTCCGTTTTCGTCTGCCTGCCCCACTAAGCATGCTAGGAGTAAGTAAGCAATCCCTGCCCCAAGAAGACCCGGATGAGGTGACCATTCATTCGGCTGATCAGAATGAGAAACGCTCTTCCTGCTCGTCATCTCTCTCCCTTTCCCTCTCTCCACGTGAACTCCATCCACCAACCGGCGAGAGCTGTAGCCCCTCCTATGGAAATGACACCCGGGCTCTGATTGGCCAGAGTTGTCTGGGTTCATGCTCACCAATCTCAGGGCCACAGGATCACTCGTCTCCAAGGGGCCCCTGGGAACGGATGGACCCCCAGGAGCCTTTGGGGACTGCATCCAGGGTGGCATCACAGGCCAGTATGTGCACATTTAGGAGACCATCATCTACACAAGATTTAGAAGGAATCAGTACGCACACACAAAGGACGTATCGTGATCGCCATGCTAGCGAAGGTATGCACACGTTTCAAAATACACAAGCATAAGCTTTTATTCATTTTTATACAACCAGATTTAGTTTGTGATTCTAATTAAGTGACTTGATTTGGTAAAATCACAGCAACCAATGAGGTGCAGAAATTAAAACCAGCCACACTGTTAACTCATCTTTTTGGGGTCTTTCTATTCATGTCTGTTGATCTTATTTTATCCATTGTAATATACAGATATATCCATTGTAATTTCCATTACAATTCTATCATCCTATATATGTATGGTGATATTAATTTAGAAACTTTTTAAAATAAAAACAAGGTTCTACATATGAATAGGGTAAGATATTCCCTTGAGAATTATACTTGGTTATGGGTGCAGTGTCAGATTTTACTCAAAGTATCTTGCCAAAAATATACCTGAGTCAAATTAAGGTTTCCACATTTAACTTTTCTTAAATATTTAAAAGTTAAAAATGATCTTTTTTCTTAGCCCTTGAAACTGACTGATGAAATCAAGAGGCAGTTTTTCTCATTAAAATGAATAATTGTATGACTTTGTAAGGCTCTGGGACATGGCAGGTGTTGTTAAACTTTGACCTATATCCAGAAATCTGTGACCTGAAATTACTGAGCATTAAATTCAGCTGCAGCATGTTTTATAGTTGTTTGGCGCTTGAATACCATTGTTTATGATATACTATACTATAAATAACTGCTATAATTAAATTATCGCTATAACTTAATTAAAAAGCATTGCTTTAGGTCAAAGGCCTAAAATGTTGCCATGAGAGTGTAGAGATATCTCTTCACAAGGACGATTGACTATAGCTCTGCGGCCAATTAAAATTGATTGTAAAAAAATCCACACAGGGGTTATCCTCTTACACCAAGCACAACATAACATTCCATGCGGAAAGGGTCTCTCTAAAAATCACGATATAAAAATCACGAAATAAAATCACTTTGACACTAAAATTTTGACACTAAAATTCACTAAAAGACACTGGAATGATCTGTTTTAAGTGGACTCTTTTAAGGCTTGTCAATAAACCTCCACTGTTGTGAATTCCTAACATCATTGCATAGGAAACAGTGTCAACAGCCACTTGCTATTGCAAGCGAGTAGGTGTTTCAACTTTCAAAAACCTTATCCATATAACCGTTATTTACAGACAAAGCATTGTGAAATTGTTTACGTGCGGTTTGTTTGCGGTTTTATACAGTTGGCTGCTTCATCTTTCAGCAAAAGTTTCTTTGCAAACTCTCCATTACATTGCGCCTCATTTACAAAACAACATACAGTCAAATAATCATATAATACAAACATATAATCCTCCAACATATTCCATGAATCATTGGGGGAAAAAAAACTTTCCATCCTGACGCTGATGTCCTTCTGAAGTTACTACAGAATTAAAAATAAATACTTTTTTCATGTTTTCTAAAAGTAGCAACACTATTGGGGAAATTCACAATTGTTAAATCCACCCTAAATCATGATTTATAGTACCTACCCACCTAAATTATTTATTGTTTTTGTGAACCTACCCTCCATTTAGGTACATCTCTCACAAAAGCTAATAGTTCTCACCTATCACTGATGGTTTTGACTGCCTTTCACTGTCTTTCTCTCCTTTCACCCTGTCCATCTGTGATCTATTGCTCTCTCAGATAATGGGCGTAGTATTAAAGGTAACAGAGCTGTAACACATGCCTGCCTGCCTGTCTGTATGAAGCATGCTCGGGCTTACACTGAATGCTCCCGAAATGCATCGAATTTACAATCACAGAATACTTTCAAAGAAAATACTGATAATGACAGAGGGACAGAGGAGACATTTGCATGCGTAATGCCTAATGTGACATGAAAGTGCATGGGATAAAAATAAACTTTTTTATTTAAAAAAATAAGCTTAAAAAGCTTTTGCAGCTTCTTCTGTCTTTTTATTCTTCCTTTATCCTAATCTAAATCTCTCTTTCTGAACCTACATAATTTTCACAGGAGAATGAATTGTTTAGATCCTTGTAGTATTCTTGTCATAAATATTTTCAATTTACAAGACTGTGGACCATTTTAGTTCAGTAGAGTTCTTGAGATGATACCAGATTCTCCTAACTTTTGACCTCCTGACTTTTTCAAAAGTGAAATCATTCTCTGCTCCCCTTCCCTCTCTCTTTCGCTCTCTTCTTATTGGCTAGTGTCGCGCTCTTGGATGGCTGGGGGTATGGCTAGAGCTTCACTTCTTTGATTTAATCGTTGTCTCTGTCGTCTGTGCGTCTGCTGTCTGTGTATTTGTGTTTGCTCTTGTCTTGCAGTTGTTGTTGTTAGTGATGGTTTTATTAATACTGGTCTGGAAATGCAGATTCTTAAAATGAACAGTGTTAATGTCACTATTAATGTGAGTCCTGCTAGATGAGAGAGAGTTTTACATTGCTCATAATTTGTGTTTATGTGCTTCAGGTCCATTTAATCAGATCAAGTCCAGCCTTCTGGGCTCCACGTCTGACTCAAACCTCACCAAGTACAGCACCATCAACAAGATCCCTCTTATCACTCTAAACTTCTCAGAGACAAACAATGACAAGCGGGCATCATCTCCGCATTCCTCAGAGAAAACCATCATCGCACCAAAGGTCAAAGATCGGACACACAACGTCACAGAGAAGGTCACACAGGTGAGAGATGTTTAGTATTATAAATGCAGCACCCAAACAAAGTGGAGTCAACAAAGTGCTTTGACAAAGGCTATTAAATACTATTAAATACTGCATTATAGGGATGTGACGGTGAGGATATCTTCCCACCCGTTAATCGATGTGTGTGACACAACAAATTAGCACCAGAGAGTGTCTAATTGAAGAGAATAGGCACTGGCTGGTTACTTCCGGGTTCTGGACTGGCTGCAGTAACACGTCTCTGTCCATGTGGGGGTGCTCGCGGTCGAGTGCAGAATGAATGGGAGTCAATGGGGTTTCACCCCAAAAAATCCACGTTTCTCAGGATGTAATTTTTTGTCAAGTAATTTGAAAGTTGCATTCAAAAGGGAGGGGTAAAAAAATACACTCAGCTGAAAATTGCATTTTTAAGTTCACTTATCTGTTCTAAAAATCTGTTTAAAAAATGTGATGACGTCACACAATAGCAGAATGCTAGCGTGTTCCAGCCAACAACAGCCTAACCTGTAAGAAATCAAAAGGACATAAGTACTCGTTCATTCGACTTTTGGCCTATACCCTATATTGAACTTGCGGAATCAAAAATAAAATCTATTTTGATTTAACGACAAGCAGGTGAAAGAGACACATTTAGCCGTTTAGCCCCATAGACTCCCATTCATTCTGCGCTCGCCCGCGATCACCTCCAGTGGAATTCTAATGGAACTGCAACCAAGATAATACACAACGGGGCTAATAGGAAGTGCCAAGGCTCTCCGTTAGACGGGCTCTGTTAGCACTAATTTGAAAACGAAACTAACATGTGCACGGCCATACGTCAACGGGAGTGGACGCCTGTTGACACGTGTGGCCATGCACATGTTGGTTTAGTTTTCAAATTAGTGCCAATTTGTGGCGGATTACTTGAATGGTTAGTTCAGCCGAATGGTTGGTTGTTCGTAGCAAGCCTACTACATTATTGTCTCTCTATTGGAATGTCAGACAAGCCCTGCAGCTGGGAGTAAAAGTTAGACAGGACTAACATGCACACACACTATATCAGTGGTTCCCAAGCTGGGAGGCGCAACGCGTAGGGTTGGGCTGATAGATGATATCATCGTCCATCGTGATGGCTGACAGACATGTTTAGACAGCCGATGCATTTTTTCTAAATATTAACAAACTTGCTTAACATGTCGTGAACTATCTTCTATTCCGATTCTCAAATATGTGTAAGTGAGTTTTTGTCGTTTAAAACTTTATCAGTAACGTGACATGGGCGCCGTGTTTGGGCCGCAGTTCAGAGATTTCTGTCTGTTGGATTTATTACAGCGTGTGAATTCATCAGTTTCTCCCGTACTGGGATACAAATAGAGTTGGCTTTATAGTTTACAATCTGTCTCTCTGATATGAATAAAAACTGTCGTCAAATATATTTGAATGGGTTGTTATTGCTTCTTCCATAGACACCATTGTGTATTTTACAAGCTATAAATGTATTGTCTGAAACCTAAAATAAACATAATGTGGTCAAAAACACTGAACAGTTGTGATATAGCCTGTGATATAGGCTATGACAAGCGTTGAGCGCGTCCGTCTTTGGCTCAGTGCCAGCCATAGCGCGGAAAGCACGCAGTTTGAATCTGGCAGCTGTCACATCATTGTACATTCGCTATGTGCTCAGCTGATGCAGAGCGTGCCGAAATCGAAATCGCTGATGAGATATAGAGGAGAATATCTAGTGAAAATGAGAATATTACGAAAATACCCCCCTACCGATGTCTTCGGCCATCGCGATGTTTCACTTTAGACTTTGTCTGATGCCAAATTGATAGACATTGCCCAACCCTAGCGACAAGGCTAAGGTTGTTATGCAAAAGAAACCTCTTCAGGCTGATACAAGACCCCACTACATAATTATCCCACTTATTATGCAGCTACTTGATTAATTTTACATTTTATTACCTCAGGACTCGTTTGAGTGGTCTGTTATCGGTTGTAGCAGTTGTTGTGCAATAACAGACCACTAGATGGAGCGGTTGAAAAATAAGTATTGAGTATTGCTGGGAGCATTGTAAAATAAATGAATGATGCATGGTTATGCACTAAGCAAGTTTGCTAGTTTGCTGCCAGGTAAACGTAATTCGTAAAACATAAAAATTGTTCGCAAATACCAAAACAACATGTCTAGAAGTAGAACCCATTATAATCAGTGATGTTGTCTACTGGATGCGGCGCAAGATAACAGGATAGTCCCTGGCCGTACACTGATACCCCATTCTATTTCTGACATATTTCCGATTTGCAACGTTAATTTTTCCATTTCCAGTAGACAGTCTCAAGCTGTTGCGGCGCAGTTCGGCCGTCAAGTCCGCTGCAGTGAAAAGACAATATGACAAGGCATTTATTGCCCTCGGATTCACCAGTACAACGGTTGGTAACAAAGAGAGACCACAGTGTGTTACGTGCCTCAAAATATTAACTTCTGACAATATGAAAACAAGTTAAGTGACACTTAGTGACTAAAGATCACAAACACAGAGAGAAACCTGTTGATGTTGAGAAGTTGTAGTACTGTATCAATTACAATATTTTATATTAATCATTTAGAATTTTGTGATCAAGATCATGTCTGAGAGTGTCTTTATGTGCGTGCATCTATATATTTATCAAAGAATCCTGAAAAAATAGTTACCTGAAAAATTTGAAGCAGCACTGCTGTATTCAACATTTATAATAATCAGAAATGTTTCTAAAGCAGCAAGTCAGCATATCACTATGATTTCTGAAGGATCATGTGACACTGAAGATTGGAGTAATGATGCTGGAAATTCAGCTTTGCGACTGTTGGAATAAATAAATTTTTTTGGAATATTTCACAATATTACTGTTAACTGTATTTTTATGTTAATGCAGCCTTATTGAGCAAAGTGTGGGGGGTAAATTATACATGTGAATACATTTGTCAAAGTAATTCTCCCTCCATAAAATGTGTCTTAGTCATTTTTAATGTACAGTTGCAACCTCTCTTGAAACATTGCAAAACAAGTAATTTAAATAATTAAAGGTACACTATGTAACATTTTTTTGGGGAAAAAAAGATGTACATTTTCAATACAACGTCTAATCTTCTTCCAAATGTGTTTTTGTCTCACCCTGATTCACTATAGTGAGCCTATTATAAGTGTTCATAGTATAGACCTTGTGGGATGTTTTTTTTCTTCTCAAAAATAATAAAACGAAAATAAACATTGGCTTGTATTTTCTGAGATAGCAAGAACTGAGGTATTTGAAATAAAGTAAAAGTGACAGGGAGACAAGTGAGCAAGGTATTTTATTGATAAACTGACATACTCTACGTAGCTTTCTAATAGAGTTTATTGTTAAAACGGATCATTTCATTATGGGTTGTTGAAGCATTGTGCTTGATTTTATTTTCAAGGAAGTACTGTGTCTATTAATGGGTATAGCTACAGTAATGCTTCAGCTATTCAGCCTCAGATCCTTTCCATCCAAACTGTTTTATATCTCTTAAGCCTAGAAGTGACTGTTTTATGAACAGTAGGATAACCATATTCATCCTCAATATCCACAGTCATGCAGAGCCTAAGCACAACAAAAAAATTTTTTACTGTTATTTAACCACTAAAGGGCCAAAGTTACATAGTGTAACATTAATTTAGTGAGCCCATGGTACACCTCCCTTCATTGGCTACTAGTCACTGCCCACGTCAAGTTCAACTTGTGCACAGAACTTTTTGCTGAATGAGTGGCGTGTCATGGTACCATTTTACCATTTGTTAAATCCTTCCCTGTTCTGACCTGTACTATTTTAGACAATGTCTGAAAGTTTATGTTTATCACTTCTTATAATATAATAATTTGTTACGTTTGTTTAGAGCTTTTTACTTTTCCTATTATTACCTGCTTAAAGTGAATTGCTTTGTTGTTTTCCTCCTTTTATCCTTTTGGATAAATGAAATGTCCACTGCTGTTTTTTTGTCAGTAATATATATATATATATACAGTATACATACTGTATATATTAGTTGATGCCGTTATTTAGTAAGAGAATGACGGTAAAATGGAAGTAAAGACATTTACAATGAACTTTCCTAAAAAACAACAACTGTTTTCAACAATAGTAATAATAAGAAAAGTTTCTTGAGCACCAAGTCAGCAATTAGAATGATTTCTGAACGATCATGTGACTGTGGCCTTCAAACAGAGAAGGCATATTCAGGGATTCGGCATCCATCATACTTGTCCAGCTCGTGGTAGCTCGTGTATGATCGTCAGAAGCTATGGATATTGCGGCAGCTCTGGACAAACATGGGTCTTGTTGTTTAGCCACCGCCACTCTCAGTCTTTCCAAAATTTTGACTGGCAATGACGCACAATGAACACATGTTTGTTCCACAGGCAAAGTTTGCATGTTTCGGGACCATACACACAATGTACATTGGGTGAGGGTCCCTGCCCGAGATATTTGCTCCACATGACGTTGGACACTGGTGGGATGCAACCTCCCTACTCTTCGACTCATTCCCTTTGTCTGGGGTGATGACTCGTCATAACACAAAATTGGTTCTAGTTAACCCTTCTAAATGCTTAATGTGTGAAGCCTGAACTTGACTTGACGCCACTGAAATTCTTATCGTTGTAATTTAATACGCAATAATCTGAAGAGAATAGCTCGCCTTGACTAAGACACTATTAACACCATCAAATCAGCTGATGTCGCCTTTAGTAGCGGAATCCATTGACGGTCCGTCTGATTGAGCAACAGAAATTTGGATGTGCTGAGAGAGCATCTAGTCCCTCATAGGAAGAAAGCGTGAATTGTTTCAGTAGGTGTTAACCTGAGTGATAAAGGAGACATATGTGGTTTAACAGGAGTTTCCATAGTTGGTCATGCCCAAGGATATTATAATTTTCTAAGCGAAGTTAGAAAAATAACCTTATTTAACATGCATGTATTATAGAACCACATAGTATACACTCCAATGTCTGGAATAAGTAGTAGGAACTAATAATGAAACATGAAGTAAATAAAACTATATTATTATAGGACACAGCATAGTAGGGTTGAAAGTGTACAGTATATGCATACATACACCATATGACTAAACACATATGCAAAATATTGTCTCAGTTTGTATCGCTCTCCCTCCTCTTCTGTCTATTTCTGTCAGTGGTGCTGTTTGTTTGCCACATTAAAGACTTGTTGCCCGTAACTAACCAGATGGCCAGTTACACACACAGATGGCTTGTTTCGTCTTTTTCATTCTTTGAATCGTGCTGGTTGAAGAGTTGGACTCTAATTAAACTGGGTCTTGGCATCTAATCCTGAAACTCAGCCTCCCACGCATCCTCAACCTTTATGCCAAATGTGATTTCACTCTTTCTGATTGACCGCTTTTTAATAGTATCTCTTTATACTCTATAATAATAATGAAAAACTTCTATACTATTCTGTACTAATTATTACGGATTTGGTCAGTGGAGGGGGGGTGGGGATGGGGGTCTGTGTTTATTAATACTGTAAAACTGCTAACCACTCTTTTATACTTTCTGGTTCGGATTAATTGGCTACAGGTTGTCCGGTTAAAACAGTATATCTCACCATGTGACCATGTTTGTGGTTCTGCAACAAACAATATACAGAATATGAATAAACTTAATTACAAATCTATATATATATAGTTTAACAAACTATATATATATATATATATATATATATATAATAGTTTGTTAAACTCTGTTACTTGAAAATTTTTACTGTGCACTGAAAAAAAAACTATCCTGCCTATAGCCTTAGTAATCCTGAAGACATTTATTAGCTTGTTCAGGTGTGTTTGAATAGGGTTAGAACTAAATTCTGCTCACAAACAGAGGCAGGGGAGATCGGGATAGTCCAATTCCAAGGGGTGACCTTTTCTACAAATACATTTATTCCACAAGGATGCATTAAATAAATCAAAAGTGCCAGTAAATACTTTTATAATATTTCAAAAACGTTCTATTTTATATACATGCTCTTCCTTTAAACTTTCTATTTATCATAGATCATGTCAGGTTCCTTTATTAGATTCCTGGAAAAAAAAGGTTTAGTGGTTTACAGAAAAAATATGACGGATCATGGGACACTGAAGACTGGAGTAATGGCTGCTAAAAATTTAGCTTTGCCATCACAGGAATAAATTACATTTTAAAATATATTATAATAAAAATAAAATGGTTATTTTAAATTGTATTAACATTTCCTCCTGTGTGACCTCTTGGTGGCCGCAGCCCATGGACTTCCCCAGCAGATACCTACATTATTCAGCAAGTGTGTGCGTGAGAAGTGAGAGAACCCTCCATGAAACACAAATAAACAGGGTAGATGAAGGCTTGCCAATTACTGAAACAGAAAGCAAGAGGAAATTATCTCTCATCCTCTCTGTTTCAGTGGAGGAGTGGAGAGGAGAATTGCCTCTGTGACATTGAGACTGTCCTAGTACTTTGTCCCACACACATGCTGTCATAGTTTGCTGTACAAACTTAAGCAGCTGTTGACTCATTTCATTTGTAATAATAGGCACCCAGGGTATTTGTGTTTGCTGCTGTAATATAATGTGGTATATACTGTATAATGATGTGCATTAATTTGCTTACTGAACACCCAGGCTGGTCCTGTCCGTTCAGCCTGGTTCCCTGATGGGAAGGACATAACAGCCTTTCTGTTTGTAATTTTTTCTCTGGCTGAATAGTGTGCTGTGGTCCGTTATTAACTTATGGCTGCATCAGCCATGACCTGTCACCATGTGGCCTTCTCTCTGCTTTTCACATTACCATCTAAAAGCTGGATCATGAAATTTTCATCATAAGCAGTGATGTATTGCTTTCTCTTTCTTCAATTTCTCTTTCCCCAATATTTCTACAAAGGTTGACACAGTATCATGATCTTTCAGAAGAAAGTGTACTAGTTCCTCATCAAACCAAATAGATAATTTTTTTGAAATGAAGCTGCAAAAATGGTTTGATCAGAAAAGTTCATGATATTGGGACCTGAATATGATTTAAATTAACATAAAACCACCTTCATGCATCAATGGCTATTTATTGTTCAGGAACATGCTCTACCTTGAGCAACAGAATGAACTGTGCTGGTATCGAAAGAATAACTCATTTACAATTTTTATTCTTAATGATACAGTAGCAAAAACTGTGCATTTAATTCTAAGGGCCCTATTTTAATGATCTGCATAGTCTAAGCATACGGCTCAGGTGCTATTTTGCTATAGTGGATCCACTTTTAACGATTGGAAAAATGGTTGATGTCCCTATTCCATATTCTCTTTATGAGTAATGGGTGTGTTTTGGGCGTTATGTGCAATAAACCAATCAGAGTGTCATTTCCCATTCCCTTTAAAAGCCAGTTACACTTGCTCCTTGGTGGGAAAACAGAATGTGAAAAAAAATCTGAAATCTGGGATTCAAAATCCCAAATTTAGACAAATTTGAAAATCAACAGAATGTTTTAGTTCTAAATGAGTTAGGTTAAAACTGTCTTAAACTGCATAACAAGTTGCTCTTTGGATCATTTTTAAGTCACCCTCATCAGGATTTGCATAAACTATATACGTGTATACCTCAGCTTGGGTGCATGGTCATTTAAGTCAAAGTTTTTATTTTGTTTTTTTTTATTTTAAGACATTCTGAAATCCATAAACATGACCAATTGCCATACTAATAATCTAATTTCTAATTAAAAAAAAATATTATTATTATTATCATGAAAAATATAACTGAATCCAATTAAGATAAATAATCGTCACATTTGACACTGTGTAATGTGTACATTTCATACATGAGTCACTGTTGTTTCTAGTCTCTGAGTTAGCAGCTTCTGATATTGTTGCTTGTCACAATATAAAAGCACTATCGTTGCCATAGTAACCACATCTCTATACTTCAGGTGTTGTCGCTAGGCGCTGATGTGCTTCCAGAGTATAAGCTTCAGACACCAGGCATCAACAAGTTCACCATTCTACACTACAGCCCCTTTAAGGCAGTCTGGGATTGGCTGATTCTGCTGCTAGTTATCTACACCGCTATTTTCACGCCCTACAGTGCGGCCTTCCTTCTCAATGACCTGGAGGAGGAGAGGAGACGTGAGTGTGGTTATTCCTGCAGTCCTCTCAACGTGGTGGACCTCATAGTGGACATTATGTTTATTGTAGACATTCTTATCAATTTCCGGACTACGTACGTCAACGCCAATGAGGAGGTGGTCAGCCATCCAGCTAAGATAGCTGTGCATTACTTCAAGGGGTGGTTCTTCATAGACATGGTGGCAGCCATACCCTTTGACCTGCTCATATTTGAGGCAGGATCAGAAGAGGTGAGCATATGTATACGAGTAATTTACAATTACGGCTTTTTCATGCTATTCGTTGTTCAAAGTCTAGTGACTATTTAAAAAAATGGTATTAAATATGATATACACCAACAGCTGAGATTTAATGCTTAAATATGGATAGAGATATGAATATATGACAGACTGTTTTAGCTTTCTTGCAATAAATAGCTTCTAATTTTTTTTATCTAAATACATTGTTTACATACTTATTTGCATGTAAGCATGAATATATGTTTGCACTCTCTTGTTCAGACAACGACTCTGATTGGCTTACTGAAGACTGCCAGACTTCTCCGATTGGTCCGTGTTGCACGGAAGCTGGATCGTTACTCAGAGTATGGTGCGGCTGTCCTCATGCTCCTCATGTGTATATTTGCACTGATTGCTCATTGGTTGGCTTGCATATGGTATGCAATCGGCAACGTGGAGAGGCCCTATCTGGCGCACACGATTGGCTGGTTGGATAATCTGGGCATGTCCATCGGCAAGCAGTACAACGTCAGTGACCGCTCCTCGGGCCCCTCCATCAGGGACAAGTATGTGACAGCACTGTATTTCACATTCAGCAGTCTGACCAGCGTGGGGTTTGGAAATGTGTCGCCAAATACCAACTCAGAGAAGATCTTCTCCATCTGTGTCATGCTCATTGGCTGTGGGTATCAATATGTTGCACCTTTAAAATTTAACTTATGCCATCAGCACCGCAAAGGTCACCTTTGTTGATCCTGGATATTGTGTTGATCCTGGAACAACATTTCTGTCCGAAAATTTCCTCTTAACCCCATCCCTGCCCCTAAATCTACCCATAATTTATCCCTAAAATCAGAAGGAGATGATCGGTGAATAACACTGATGTAGAAGCTTCTAAACTTAAACATGACATAAACTTTAAAGGGTTAGTTCACCCAAAAATGAAAATTAAGTCATTAATTACTCACCCCCATGCTATACCAACCCCGTAAGACCTTTGTTCATCTTCGGAACACAAATTAAGATATTTTTGATTAAATTTGAGAGCTGTATCACTACAACATAGACTGCCTAAGGGACTGGCTCTTGACGGCCCAGAAAGTCAATGAAGAAAATGTTTAAATATTCCATGTGACTACAGTGGCTCAACTATAAGTTTATCAAGTGACGAGAATACTTTTTGTGCGAAAAAACAAACAAAAATAACGACTTTATTCGACTATTCCTTTTCTTCCTTGTTGGCCTGAAACGAGACTTCAAGACGATTTCCACGAAGCATGCGCGAGAATTGCGATCTCCTTCAACTACTTCAGTTCAGTTCTCGCACATGCTTCGTGGAAATCGTATGGAAGTCTCGTTTCAGGCCAACAAGGATGAAAAGGAATAGTCGAATAAAGTCGTTATTTTTGTTTGTTTTTTCGCACAAAAAGTATTCTCGTCACTTGATAAACTTGTAGTTGAGCCACTGTAGTCACATGGAATATTTAAACATTTTCTTCATTGACTTTCAGAGCCAGTCCCTTAGGCAGTCTATGTTGTAGTGATACAGCTCTCAGATTTAATCAAAAATATCTTCATTTGTGTTCCGAAGACGAACGAAGGTCTTACGGGGTTGGTACAGCATGGGGGTGAGTAATTAATGACTTAATTTTCATTTTTGGGTGAACTAACCCTTTAAACGTGTACCTTAGATCTGATTGGTTGATTGAAATGTTCTTCCAGGATCAAAGATGTTCCAGGAACATGTTGCACTTGGTCAAATCAATTGGTTCATCCCCTTAACCTACCAATCACAGAAAACAATCTGCATTTTTACATTTTCGGAAATGCTGTTTTCCTCATTGGGAGAAAAAAATGTCCAGACAAGGATTTGGCATATTACGCGTATGCACGCAGGGCACGCACAAAGAAGTCTCTTCTGCTCACCAAGGCTGCATTTATTTGATCCAAAATACAACAAAAACTGTAATATTGTGAAATATTTTTGGCAGTATCTGAGGTTTTCACAAAAAATTAGCTCATTAAGATGCTCCAGATAGCAATTCAACATCTAAAAGTATCTTTTTTTGTTTGTTTTCTGAGAGGAGTACCTTTCCTTTGTCCATGAAAAAATGCCGTTTTTCTCTGCTCACTTCTTGATGACTGCCACTTCCCCTCAGCACAAGTTTGGTATATGTTTTTAAAGCGCAGCATTCCAAATTTGTGAATATTTGATATCATCAGTCTGAACCAATGAAATGTGATTTTCAAACTCATGCTGATGTAAACAAAATAATCTTACTTGCACTGACGTATAGATCCAAAGCATGAGCACAAAGGCCTGACAACGATCCTGATATACACAGATTATATACACAGAATACAAAATATCTGTCTTCACTGCCAGTATTCACGCAAACATTATCTGGGTTAACTGTTGGGGAAAAACATCCCATGTTTATCATTATATTAGATCAGTGCTGTACAGTAGGTCTTATAAATAGGCTGACTTTTTCATTAATGTTAATCAAACAATTGTGGTATCGTGGAGAAAAAAAAAATCAATATATATTTTTCCTCTAGATATTTGATTTTTACTTGGCGTCTGCCAAATTTGGTGTTATTCCCAGGGATTTTAAGGTATGGTTGCTTTGTTTTTGTTTTGGAACCCACAGAAAACTTTAACTCTTGGAATATTTTCTCAAAATTGACTTTACTGACTCTGTCAGCTAGCTTGCTACAGCCTTTTTTGTCTGATTCCGACAAATCATACATCATTTTAAAGTTTTTTTATTTATTAGAGAATGTAAAAAAAACAAAAAAAAACAACTCGATTTTGAAAACTTGCTCATTGCAACTCTGCAAATATTTTAAAATGCAATTTAGTCTGGTGTTGCCAAATTTCAATGTTCAGCATCATTACTCCAGTCTTAAGTGTCGCATCATCCTTCTAATATGCTGATTTGCTGCTCAAGAAACATTGATTGTTATTATCAATGTTGAAAACGGTGTACTTTTTTGCAGTATCCATAGGCACTTTTGATCAATTTAATGGGATGAGTTCTTATCATGTGACACTGAAGACTAGAGTAATGATGCTAAAAATTCCGCTTTGCCAACACAGGAAAACTGCATTTTAAAATATATTCAAATAGAAAGCAGTTATTTTAAATTATATGTCTTAATGAAACACAATTTTTTTTTTAAACTTCTATTTGCAACAAATGTTTTTCATTTGAAATTTCTGTTCATCAAAGAATTCTTTAAAAATGTATCATGGTTTACACTAAAATATTAAGCAGCAGAACTGTTTTCAACATTGAATATAACCAAAAACGTTACTTTAGCAACAAATCAGCATATTAGAATGATTTCTTAACGTATTACAGGAATTGTCTCTGGAGTAGATTGCATTTGAGAGTATGTTAAAGATAGAATGTTTAAAAGTATGTTCACAATATTAATTTTTATGTATAAATGTTTTGATCAAATAAATACCTTGGTGAGCATAAGAGACTTTCAAAAACATTGAAAAAATAAAAATGACTTTATAAATGACTTGAGTTCTGACCTTTGCCTCCTCCCTTTGTATTCTAGCTCTGATGTATGCTAGTATCTTTGGGAATGTGTCTGCTATAATTCAGCGACTGTACTCTGGAACAGCTCGGTACCATCTGCAGATGCTTCGGGTCAAGGAATTCATTCGCTTTCACCAGATCCCAAACCCGCTGAGGCAAAGATTAGAGGAGTACTTCCAACATGCGTGGACTTACACCAATGGCATCGACATGAACATGGTACGAGCCAGGCTTTTTTCCCCTACTAAATATGAATTACTGTCATTGAATGAATACATGCATTGGTGTCACTGTGTTAGCTATCTAGTCTTTATATTAACATATGTATCTCAATCACACAGTATTAATGTCAAATGTGTTCATGTGTCTACGCAGTGATCTGATATGCATTCTCTTTCTTATACGCACTCAAACGGACTGACTTCAACACCCTGGTGAGCAGGAGGTATAGAGTAATGTTTGCTTTTTATCCAAAAAGCTGCAGCCATTTGATCTTAAATGTTTTCATATTGACTGTATATTTTATAGAAGCATACAGTTGATTTTAAACTGTATAACCTTGAGCAGTGTTGGATATATGTGTACCGTTTTATGAGGTAAGGGTAGTCTCAATGTTATAGTCAATGTTACATTTAATGACTGATGTTAAATCAAAAACTCTGTTCTCAAAGCTAATGGTACTGTGAAAAAAAAGCGTACTGTGACTCATCCTGCATGCAGGCATTTCTATTTCAGTTAATTTCCTTCAATTAAGTTTCACTTTGATGGACCTAGGTCATATTGACATTTCCTGTTTTGTTAGGCATCAGATTTAGTTAGTCAGATAGATAGTTACTGCAGGTTAAAAAAAGCAGGCTGCCTTTTTTACACCTGGCTGGGGGACTACTGATGAAAATTAGCACTTTTGAGCTAACTCGGGTACATTTACATTGTTTTAATGTTGGTTAATGCACACTGTCCCCTTTCAAACAAAGAGACAAATGCATAAATATATTTCCATGAGAGTCATTGTTGTTCCCTGGCTGACATCCCAAATCCAATTTTAAACAAGAAACAGTGTTTTATAGATGAATCAGAAATATTGGGAGAAAACGTAAGTGACAGTTGCTTTTTCCTCTGTTTAATGTGCCATATATAATTTTTGATGAAGCTAGAGCAAATTAAAGGCTAAAACAATGCAATGCAGCAGAAACAAAGGATCCCCGATGTATTCATACTTTGCTTCATCTTTTATGTATTTGCAGTTGAGGGAGACAGGGCTATATTAGCATTGTATTATCTGAGCTGTAACGGAAAGCTCTTAAAAACCGGCTATCATTCTGCCCTCCTTCTCATGGAGAACACTCTTTCTGTCCTTTTCTCGCTCTTCCCGTCTCTGCAGGTACTGAAGGGCTTTCCAGAGTGCCTGCAGGCTGATATTTGTCTTCATCTGAATACAAGTTTGCTCCAGAGTTGCAAGGCGTTTGGCGGAGCGACCAAAGGATGCCTTCGGGCACTGGCAATGCGCTTTAAGACCACCCATGCCCCACCAGGTGATACGCTGGTGCATTGTGGGGATGTTATCACAGCCCTCTACTTTCTCGCCAGGGGATCCATCGAGATTCTGAGGGACGACATAGTGGTGGCTATCTTGGGTGAGCAATAAACAATTAAACAAACCTTCACTGTAAGCCTTAACTTTATGGTGATGACATCTCACTAACTTACAATCTATATTTAAAATGGAGTTTGTTCCATGACTTTCACACAGTGTCACAATCAGCCCTTGTAAGGGTCAAACCTTTTGTCCTTTGGTTGCTGGGCCAGATCTTTTTAACCATGATGCTTTACCACTGCATAATAAATTACCTTTTTCATATTGTTCTAAAGATTTTTGCATAATCTTTCATCAAAACCTCTCTGAAATTAATTTTTTTGCTGGAACCAAAGCTCCACAAGAAAAAAAAAGTAGTAGATCATAGTCTACCATATATCACCCTCAAGTCAAATCTAAAAAGGACAAAAAAATGTCCCATTCTGCTTCCAGTTGAGCGTTTTGCCTTATGGAAGTTAAATGCTTTACAGATGCTACTAACTTCACATCTAAAAGGCTGGCCTATATATATATATATATATATATATATATATATATATAAACAAACACACACATACTGTATAGTACAGTATCGATGTCCAAATATCAGATTACTGGAATGCTGTGGAAATTGGGTGGCTTACTATATGGCACTTGCACACTCATCTAAATTTAATATAAAAAGCTCAGAGGCTCACAAGGTAATAAAGACTTAATGAAAAAAGTGCTGTCCTTCATTCAAGGATATCTCTCCTGTGATGAGCTCATAATGTTTTTATAGATGGAGAGAGACTGAAATAGAGGAAAGCTGAGGGAAAATGAGAGAACAAGGGAGAGACAGGTTGTAATTAAATAAGAAGATGCGGGAACGAGATTGGCAGCAGTGTGGTACATGTTTCCCTTGTTCATTAGATTTGCAATGTGTCACTTAGTGTGACAGAAAGCCCAGTGACAGCGCTAGTTTCATTTTTTACAGGCACATTAATAAACTCGCGCTCACATGCTTAGAGTCTCCAGTCACATCGTTGCAGCGGGCAGGTGGAGCAGGGTAAGCCGAATTTAAATGGTCCATCCCTCTTCCTACGCAATCTGGCTTTAACAGAATAAGGCCAGGGGAAGAAAAAGAGACGCACACTAACATACCCGTGCAACTCAGCAGAAACTTTCCGTACACTGCACGAATTTGCTGAGAGAAGCTACCTCCTGCTTCATATGTACTGTATTCTTAGGTCTCAGTTGAAGAATCACTACCTCAGCAAGAATTTGTCGTCTTACAAAAGTGTTGCAGATGGACACTCAATTATTGTACACTAATTCTGGCTCTGGTTTGGCCTCTGTTATTCTATTAACATATTGCTTATAGCCTCACCTCAAATCCTTAAAGGGTTAGTTCACCCAAAAATGAAAATTCTGTCAGTAATTACTCTCCCTCATGTTGTTCCAACCCCGTAAGATCTTCGTTCATCTTCGGAACATGAATTAAGATATTTTTTGATGAAATCTGAGAGCTGGATCACTCCTCCATACTAGTCCATAGGCTTCTTGAGGGATTGAAACTTGCCGGCCTCGAAAGGTTATTAAAGACATTGTTAAAATAGTCCAAGTGACTTCAGTGGCTCAATCTCAACGACGAGAAAACTTTTTGTGCGCAAAAAACAACAAAAATAACGACTTTATTTCAACTATTCTTCATTTACTTCTCTCTCTGCCTCGAGTCAGGTTACTAGTTTAATAACGTAAGCTTCTGTTATTGTACGTCACACGCATCACACACATGACCAATAGTGAGCCTACGTGTGACGTAACTCTACGCTATCACACTACGTTAACTGACTAGAGGCTCATAGAGAAGGAAGTGAATAGTTGAAATAAAGTCATTATTTTTTGTTTTTGCGCACAAAAAGTATTCTCGACGCTTGATAAGGTTAAGATTGAGCCACTGAAGTCACTTGGACTATTTTAATGATGTCTTTAATAACTTTTCGAGGACGGCAAGTTTCAATCCCTCAAGAAGCCTATGGACTAGTATGCAGGAGTGATCCAGCTCTCAGATTTCATCGAAAAATATCTTAATTCGTGTTCCGAAGATTAACAAAGTCTTACGGGGTTGGAACAAAATGAGGGTGAGTAAATACTGACAGAATTGTCATTTTTGGGTAAGCTAACGCTTTAATGTGCAATATACAGCACCAATGGCTTCAGCCACGACCCTGAGCCAGATTTAGATACGATGGCAGGTGGCCGCTGACCAGGTGGCTGTCGTTTGTTTGTTAGGTCTGACCTTTAATATGTATCACTGCAGAAATGTGCTGTCAGGCCTTGACTTTTCTGTTGGCACAAGTCCTCAAGAAGCTTGCATTGGCTTTCAGAAATATATGCTCACATCAGTGACGTGAGTTTTCAATCAGTGGAAGCCTTTTTCTGCCACGAAACAAAATATATTTTAAAAATTCTCACAATTTAGATTATTTTCTCAAAATTGTAAGTTTGCATCTTGAAATTCTGACTATCTCTTAAGAGGTGCCTAATTTCATTGATGGAAAGGTGTGTCTGAGAAAATTGTTATAAACAGAAAAATGGCTAAATTGAGACATTTTGTTTTTTAGAGGTCTAAATTCAGAATTGTGAGGAAAAGGTCATACCTTTTTATTCTGTTGTATTTTAATAAAAATAGTACTGTCTTCATATTGTATTCAGTATGTAGTAAGGATCAAGTTAGAAGGTGCCATAATATTTACAGTTGCTGGTCGAAATTTCGCAAGTGAAATCAAGTTATTTCAACAGGAATTCTCCAAGCGATCAGAATTCCCTGTTCAGATTTTGCTACGTGGTTTGAAAGTGACTTCTGTGTGAAGTGTGCTTCATACATCGCTACTACTGTAGACAATAGACTGTTTTTGCCCGTGAAATTTTGCCTACATACAATCACACACTCTAATTTGGAAACTTGCTTTCCCCTTCTCACTCTTGGTCCATTTTCTTCATTGTTCATCGCTTTCAAATCTTCTCTCCCCTCTCTTGTCCTCTGATCACTTTACGCCCACCTCTCAGGTAAGAATGATATTTTTGGAGAGATGATTCATCTGTACGCCAAGCCGGGGAAAGCCAACGCAGATGTTCGAGCGCTGAGCTACTGCGACCTGCACACCATCCACAGAGAGGATCTTCTGGAGGTTCTGGACATGTATCCTGAATTCTCTGACTACTTCCTGTCCAATCTGGAGCTCACCTTTAACCTGCGTGATGAGAACACCAAGGTAAAGCAGCAAGCTATTAACTTACAGTTTTGGAATAAAAAGAGGAATATACTATGCAAAAATACACTAACATTCACTATATAAAGCTCCCTCCGCAGTCTAGTCTACCCAGACCCTTTATGGAAACTAAGTAAAAACGTCTTCAGAAATCACAGTAATGAGCACATTAATAAAAATATTTATAAAACGTTGTTAATATTACTGTAGCTTCGGGTGTACAGTGAAAAACACAAACATCAGGGTGTTGTGCTACAGAAATAAAAATGTCTGATGAAAAAACAGTATTCAATTAATATTCAGCAACTTGGATCATTTAAATGCCAGTATGAATTAGGCCAGTAGTTTTCACATGTGAAGATACTCTAGTCCTTCATAATAGTTTAGATGAACATTTACAAATAGAAGTCTTAAATTTATACTGGAGCTTTCAAGATTTAAAAAGGACGAGATAAAAAAATAACTTAAAAGAAAATGTAAATGAATGAAATCCATGTTAAAAAAAACTATGGGTCTTATCCAGATCCTTATCAAGTAAATGATGAACAGGCAAAGTCATGGAGCTTTTAAATATTGTCTTGGACATAAATTTTATGTTGTTATTCTAATAATCTTCCGTTTCCTTGAGCCATTGAGTTGTTTTTCAGTGAGTAATGACTTCAGTTTTGGTCTGTTCCTCTTGGCATGAGCTTTATTAATTACATTTATGGTGCACTTTTCTGTCATTTTGCAGTTTGACAGCCCCAGTCTCCATTCACTGTCATTATATTTAAAGAATAGTCCTTCACAAAAGACAAAAAATTCAAAAAGCTTTTAGGTTCCTCAGAGGAAAGCCAGTCTGTTTTTCCCATACTAATGTTGGTGCAGTAAATAAAGTTAAAAGCCGTTTAATGCTTTTCCTAATGTGATCGTCATTTCTTGTGTGTGGCAGGGCGCCACCACAGCTCCTCAGAGGAACGTTTACACGGCAGTGAGTGACTCAGACACTGAAGACCCTGACGTCAAGACTAAACCCGGCTTTAAGAGGAACCACTCCTCAGGTCAGGAACTTCTCCTCATGTTCTGCTCTCATTTTTCTGTCTTCCTCTCCTCCATTGTTCTCTCCTTTTTTCGGTTCCTCCTTTGTTTCCCTCCCCTCCTCTTTCCACCCATCTCTTTTCTCTCCCTGCTGGGTTTCAAGCTGTTGCCATGGTGATTGTTGGCCACAGACAGATGTTTATCGTGTGGTTGCAACGTGACAGATTTTACCTGGACGGTCAAGAGCTGTTTTATCCCCCGTCCCTGTATAACCTGCCGTTTGGATTATTTATCCCAGCCAAATCTCTCACTCTTCCTCTCTTCCTGGCACACTCTTTTTTTTTTTCTTTGTTCAAGGTGCAATCTGGGGAGGGACCGTGAGTAGAGTACCATGTGTGTAATTCTGTGAGGGCGTTGTGTTTTTTCAGGTTCTCCGAGCAGACCGAGCGGGACAGACCAGGAAAGGGGAAGAGATGGAGAGGTTCACACGTTCCCTGGAAGGGAGGAGGAGGAAGAGGAGGGTGAGGAAGTGACAGCGAGGCCTTTGAGTTTGGGTCAATCCCTTCCTTACAACCTGAACACCATCCATGACATATACAGTAAAGATTGTGTTGAAAACAATCTGTTTCATAAAGGTATAACATACATTAATGTACTCATTCATAAGGGTGTCTACTGTAAAAAGTGGTTGGAAGCATACTGTATCAAGATGTTTATAATGCTCTGTAATACAAATTGAAATTCATCTATTCATTGTAAATAGTTACAGTATACATAGAATATAAAACATTATGAATGATGGGAAACATGAAGTTTTTCAAGGCTTTGAACCAATTGATTCGAACTCTTTCGAAGCGGTCGAAACACCACACACTGGTGACCCCTACTGGTCAGAACAGAGGAAATGCAACAAAAACTCGGACCAAATGTTCATAAACAAACCAACACCTTTTACAAACCCACTGCAAATGTTTTATTGAAAGTACATTCTATCAAATGCAATTGACTAATCATCTAATAAGATTACATATAAACTTTATGTGTAATATGTGTTATTTGATCAATTTTCAGGGCTTGTTTTATTTAACAGGTCAATAAGAGACTATTAAAGGTACAATATGCAGGATTTTGCAGTAAAATATCCAAAAACCACTGTTAGGCCAATGTTATATATTTTGTTTAGTTGATTACTTACAATATCCCAAATGTTTCCAATTATTTGTAAATCGTGAGAAAATTGCGATTTTTAACCAAGGAAACGGGGCGTGTGAGCAGGGGTAAGGAGTCGCCAGTCAAGGACGTCATATCCGCGTTACCCCCAGTTTCCGCCAGGTTTGACCTCGTACTGCAATAGTAACCATGGCGATAGACGTGGACAACTGGGTCGGTTATGCTCGTTATGCGTGCTCAATAGCGTGAGCATCCCTAGCAGGGTTTTGTTCAAACATTATGGACCATGGCAAGCAGATTTTGAGACAAAAAGAGGACTAAAACAAAGATCAACATCTTTCGAGATGCCGAGAGCTCCAAATCTGCGACTAACTTCGACTTGACAGAGATGCGAGTGTTGCATGTTGAAGTGAGCAAATCAATGTATAAAAAACGAATCAATGTTATATAGTTCAACATGATGAAAAGTTCGAATATGATCTGTATGTTATTCTCTAATGTTAATCTAGCTTAGTCTCATACAGCCAACAAACAACCTAACAACATTCCAATGCCATTTAGTGTGATAGTGAAACTGTTAGGGCAAGTGAAGCAGCGCTGCGTTACCTCAAGTTTAATTCCTGACCTGTGTGAGTAATTCAGCGTGTAGTCCAGTAGAATTAAATGTCCTTATTCCTTTATATCCGCGGGACTCGCGTTGCGTGTGGCGCTGGTATACTTCTAGCAATCGCGCCCTCCTTCATACTACAGTCATCTTAAAAACATCAATGTATTCACTCATCCATAAAAGATCCATCAGCTTGACGACAATATCCATAATTCCGCTTAATTTGGAATATACGTCATTAATAAACGCCTTTGTTATTGTAAGAGGTTAGCGACCCCTGGTGGCAAAACAATCTTGCATATTGTACCTTTAACTACTAGTAGTCCTATTTAGTTATACTAATGTCTAATTAAAATGTGTACAAATGGATAAAACTGATCAGAGGTCAGGTATACCCCATAGGCAATTATTCAATGGTTTGTCGATAGGGGGCGATCTTTCACAGAGATCCTCGTCCGCCAGTGGTGGACCACTGAAATTTCCTAAATGTTTAGAAACAGTTATGATGTAACAAAGCCTCGTTTATTGAAATCATGTGGCTTTGATACACGCTCCAAACTAATGATTTGAAACAAAAGATTCATAAAGGTTTCGAAGCTTCATGAAGCACCGTTTCGAAATCGCCTATCTCTATCCTTCTTAGCCTACCCTAGCCCAGAATTCATTGCGCACTGGTGACAACAAGAGTTTTTTTCAGAGAGATTGCCGGATTACATTTTTTATGTAAGTATTGGGTTTTATCTTAGTGAGTATCTAATGATACAAATACAAAAATTAAAGCAGTTTAAATTTTGACTTAAATCTTACGAAGATAGGATTTATATATTTTATACTCTTTATTATCTACAGAAATGGACCACAGTGAAAATATTTAGACAAGTTTTGTTTTCAAAAAAAGTCCGGTAAAAACGTTTCTGCCGCTCATCAACGGCAGCTGTCCATCCATCCCATTTAAAGGGATAGTTTACTTTGAAATTAATTTTTGATATGTTTTACCTTCCTCAAGGGCATCCAAGATGTAGGTGTCTTTGTTTCCGCAGTATTTTCAATTTTGATATTTTTCGGTCAAACCGTTGTTGTCTATCAGTCATATAATGCAAATTTAGGGGGCCCACCCCTCGGTTCACCTCAAAGAGCATGCACAGAGAAGTCCAAATTAAACATGATTTAATGACTCGTAAATGTAAGTACACATTGATGGCCTAAGACATGAAACGAGCGGTTTGTGTGAGGAAAACGAAACATATTTAGATATACAGGAAATCGCAATGGAAGACGATTTCGATACATCTAAATATGTTTAGTGAAAGGTAAAACTTCTGAAATCTCTGTGTAAACAATGAGTGACGTACACACGCAAGCGATCACTTCCGGCACATGCGCAGACCGAAGCGAACCGTGCCTTCAGTTCAGTTGGACATGGCTGTGGTTACACATGGTAAAAACTATATAAATACTGTTTGTTTTCTCACAAACCACTCATTTCGTGTCTTAGGCCATCAATGTGTACTTACATTTACGAGGCATTAAATCATGTTTAATTTGGACTTCTCTGAGCATGCTCTTTTAGGTGAACCCCATAGACCTCCATTATATGACTGACAGACAACAACGGTTTGACTGAAAAATATCAAAATTGAAAACACTGTGGAAACAAAGACACCTACATCTTGGATGCCCTTGAGGTAAGATACAACATATCAAACATTAATTTCAAAGTGAACTATCCCTTTAACAACACTCGGTGTGACCTTCGCGGCCTTGGAAGGCATGGCCTTTGAGACCTTTGAAGGATGCAGCCTCTGAATTGGGACACAGCTAATGACTGCTGAAATAATTACACTGCGAGGGAGCTTTCCTCTCTTTTCTCCGCTCATTCTATTTCCTGCTCTCTAAATATTACAAAACGGCCCTAGAGCTCATGATTAGACTGAACTTGGTGTAATATCTTGAGGCAAATACATTCTTTTGGCTTCTGGGTATTGCGGCTGTTATATTAGGGACACTGGTGCAGTGTGGAGATTATTAATGACGTACGTGTCTGTGTATGTATGTGTGTGTGTGATGTATAATTTATCTTGTCGGAGTGCCGTATGTTTTATTACAGTGTGTATGTAATCTCTCTCTCTGTGTGTGTGTGTATGTAGTACATTTGACATAAGAGCACGATTGATCTTACATATGTGTGCATGATGCATTAAGTTTGTGTGCATATGGCATGTTTGTGTGTGTGTTTGTGATTAATTGCACTGGGACTTGTGTTTCTCTAGATGTGCGTGTTGAAGAATGGCCTTGTGGGAATGCAGATGATTCAGCGAAATCTCGAGACAGAGAAGGAGGAGACGATTCTGAAAGTGACATCACATTCGGTGAAATGGAGCAAAGACTGGATCTACTACAGGAACACCTGAACAGGTGAGAGAAAGAAATAGAGGTAAAGAAGGTCACATGAAAGAGTAAATTAAGAGAAAACGAGTTGAAACATCAACTTTTAACATCCAGAACGTTTTGTGCTATTTATAGAATGGTACCTACCACCATCTGCTGGTCACAGACGGTATTGCATGTCTGCGTCAATAAGTCTGTGTGTGTTTGTGTAGGCTGGAAGCACAGATGACTTCAGACATCCAGGCTATTTTACAGTTGCTCCAGAGGCAGAGCGCTCTGGGACCTCCAGCGTACAGCACTGTGGCCGTCAGCCCAGAGTACCACAAACCCGTGCAGCCTGTCACCGCCATGCAGACACAGGTAACACACAGGCTATATTCACAACGGAAAGCTATCGTGGATATATCACGTTATACACTCAGAGTACCCCAGCAACCAATAAGAACACCCTAGCAACTGCTTTGCAGCTACTGAAAACACACTTACAGCAAGGTGACCAGATTTCTAAAATGAAATCTGGGGACATTTCCTTACATTTTTGCATGTCTTGATATACTATATTATAATTAAGAATTATGATGTTTGCAGGTCAAACTGACCCAAACTGGTTTTAACACAATTTACACTGTAAAAAAAGTGGAAGGAAGGTGTTTTCAGTGAATGCGCAAGACTTAATGGTTCTTTAGCCACAATATAGGTAAATATCTAGAAGAATAAGCAGTAGAGTCCAGTAAACGCTACAAACCAACGTGTTTAGAATTACAGTACATGAAAATAATTTGGTAAGAAATACCAGTTTGCAATATCAGGCAGCATAAGGAGATGTTTTGTACAGCTAAAAATAACCGGAAGCCAGACACATTCAATTTACAAATTACCGCATTTGCTCCTACGTGAAAAATAAGCTGGGTATTACAACAAAACTATGACTTTACAAAATAGATAAATATGACAAAATAAATGACAACATGTGATAAAAAAAAATTGAATCGAAATATCGTTTACATTTTCTAATTGTAATTAACATTGTAATTTTGAAATATAAATATTTTATGTGTGTGCTTTTGGAGGCTACGTTGGCCAGGCTTTTTTTGCAGTGTATTTGTTCATTTCTGGTATTTGATTTCTGTTGTATTTGCAGTAGCATACTAGCATACTGCATTCGAACGGCAGCGTTTAATGCGTTTTCTTCTTTGTAGAGTCCTGATCTAGAGCACGCCTACAAAGACTCCACGCCTGCCGTTACCATGGAGATGACCTCTGATGTCAGCACAGCGACTACATTGGTGACAGACCCAGAGTGGGAGGCGGGCCTAGGACTGAAACCATTGGAAGATGAGCTCTCTGCATCACAGCAGCCAAGATCTTTCCAGATGTCAGCCAGACAAGCGTCTCTCCCAGATCCGGCACCCGGAGGCGGATTGACGCCGGGTCTCCACAGGCCCTCCTCCGATCCTGGGCTTCCAGGGCAGTAACATAAGGTCGAAGGTTTTGATGGTAATGAAGCAGAGTCCAATAACAACTAGGTTAAGTTCTAAAAAGCTGAATTGTGAATAAGAATGCCTTATAAAGGAATCTCACTCCTGTATGCTTTCATGTAACTATGCATAGAGAGAACAAACACTACAGTAAGCTCAGCCTCCTCCCTTCTACAGCTAGACTCGGGGTAGAGAACACCAAACCGAAGAGTCGTATGCAAAGAACTTAAAACAACCTTCCATGTCCCTAGTAGTTACCTTAAAAATGCTGTAGCTGAAAACAAAAGCAGTTGAGCAGATGCATTAATGCAGAATGTATCTGTTGTTCATTTTGTAAATACATAAATAGAGCGCTGTTCGGGAAGTAACATACTGGACATGTTAATGAAAGGAAGATGCATGCTAGGGGATACAAATGCAGTGTTTATTTATTTTTTTTTTTGCATGTTTCTTAAAACACTTGCATTGTTAAATTGGTGACGTGAGCTCGTTTTTTTTGTTCTTACATTACCTATTTGAGATTTACATGTATTTAACTATGAATTTCCTGGTATTCAGGAAGAATCTTTACTTGAACTGAACTCTGCAAAGCAAAGCCTCATCATGAAAACTGTTGTCATCATCTCAAAATATCACATTATTCTACCCATATCAGATTTACATTTAACAACGACACACTGCCCCTTCAGAGCCAACTCAACATTTTAGCATTGTCAGTATTGCAAGATCATGTCTCAGTATTGAATTTGACATATCTTTTTTGGTCCAAGTGAGTGTGACCATTCTTTGGCCCTCATGGTGGGTAATTCAAACCACAGATGAGCGCTGTACATCGCCAGAAACTGAGGGGTCATTCTTGATTAAAAAGGCATAAAAAGGCATTGAAAAATGCAGCTCACAAGCCGTTTTAATAACTGCTTGTCCATCTGAGGAAATGTCGCCACATAGATCCGCTCTGGTTGTCCGCTGTTGCAGTTTGAGAAAAGCTTATGAATATTTAATAAGGTATGCACTGAGGCAGTTTATGATTAGCTAAATCTGTTTCTGAAAAATCTCGCACTCTTGAAGCAAGGTCAACACTAAATTTCCCATGGTTAAATGCAGTGCTAATACAATGGCTTAACCCAGGGTTAAATCTGGCCCTGTGGAAAGCCCTTTTGTGTTATACATGCTTTTTGTCCCTCATTTCTTTATGCAGTTTACGGATTCATTTTAGGAGGTTTTTACGTTCTAAAGCTGTAGCAGTGTCATTTTTATCTGTAGAAATATATCTGGAGAACGCGATCTGCAGGAGAAAACACTCGTTTTTGTAGCAGCAGTCATCCCTGGCCTTCCAGAAGATAGATCTACGTTAACAAAACCTATTAAACACACACTTTTAGTCTTGCAGTGTAACATGACAGTGAGTTCATGTGTAGGAGGACTGCATGTTTAACCAAAGTTAGTTAGTAGAAGTAATCACTTAATCCACATTTAATGAGATGCATTGAAGCACACCGTCTTCCTAGTGTCCGCTAAAACGAAAACAAAAAAGCAGAAAAATGTATGCATGTTTAGTAATTTGCTCATATGGCCACCAGATTTAGAGCTTCTGCATGAATTAATGAATCTGATTGGTTGGCTGAAATTTGGCGGCGGAGCATCATGACATATCAGTGTATGCGAAAGAGGCTCTAAATCCTCATCTTTCATCACACAGATATGTGGCTGGCCGTCATCATCACTGGCTCGTGTGACCGCTGTGATCACGGCATGCACTGACCTAACAGTTTCCTGTGACATGGTCCAAGTCATGTCTCGTGTTTTAGTAAGTTGGCCGGAGTGGGTTTGCCGTAGGGGTGTTTCTGAGACGAGGCCAGTGCGGGAAGAGAGCGAGAGAAGGATACGATATTATTGCGATCTTTTGCACAAACTCTTTAAACATCTTGTACAGTGTCACTTTTTAAAATTAGTGCTGTTCACAAAATAGTTTTTATGCATTTTTTGAAATGTTTGACACTGTATTTTATACAATGCAACACATAACTGCAGGTTAGAATGTTTTCTTCCTTGGGTATATTGGTATGTATTATATTTATGCTGTATATTGTGAATATTACAAGAGTTAACGCACAACTCTGTAAATTAATAAAGGACAGAATGCTTAATTTACAATGTCGCACAAGATTATTTATGGAAAAAGCATTTTATTGCTCTAAGAACCTGTGGAAAACCTAAACGAGATGCTTTGTATGCTCTTGCATTTGCAAAATCATTTTGAAGGGAGTCTGTTCATGCTGTGGCCATCTTGGTAACTTTCCAGAGACAGTACACAGCTTCTAAATAATCTGCGGAAGAAAAGACTGCCAAATCTAAATGTTAATAACATACAGTACAGTGGTGTCCAAAAGTATGAGACCAGACCACTATTAAATTTCTCCTGTTTTGCATGATTCATTTACTAACAAAAAATTGTTTCTTATTTCATATACATTATAATTTACTTTTTTCAAAATACTAAAAACAATTATTTCCAGGTTTACATACAGTGGGATGATGCAAACCTCCAAGACTTACTGTAAGTAAATTTACCACTGAAATGACAACAATATAATATATTTTGCTTTTATAGCTCAAATCAGGCTAAAAACTATGGAAGCTTGTTTCCGCCACTGAATAAAAAAATAAAATAAATAATTGTGACTTTTTATCTCACAATTCTGACTTTTATTCTCACAATTGTGAGTTTATATCTCGCGATTCTGACTTTATTTCTCAGAATTGCGAGATAAAAAGTCAGAATTGCATGATAAAAAGTCGCAATTGTGGGTTATAAAGTCAGAATTGCGTGATATAAAATCACAATTGCATGTTATAAAGTCAGAATTGCGTGATATAAAGTCAGAATTGCGAGATATAAAGTCAGAATTGCGTGATTTAAAGTCAGAATTGTGAGATATAAAGTCAGAATTGCGAGATATAGTCAGAATTGTGTGATATAAAATCACAATTGCATGTTATAAAGTCAGAATTGCGTGATATAAAGTCAGAATTGCATGTTATAAAGTCAGAATTGCGAGATATAAAGTCGCAATTGCGTTTTATAGTCAGAATTGCGTGATATAAAGTCAGAATTGCATGTTATAAAGTCAGAATTGCGTGATATAAAGTCAGAATTGCGTGATTTAAAGTCAGAATTGTGAGATATAGTCAGAATTGCGTGATATAAAGTCACAATTCAGAGAAAAAAAGACAGAAGTACGACTTTTTATCTCACAATTCTAACTTTTTTTTCTCACAATTGCGAGTTTACATCTCGTAATTCTGACTTTATAACACATAATTGAGAGTTTATGTCGAAATTCTGACATCTTTTTTCAGAATCGTGAGATATAAACTCGCAATTGCGACTTATCAGGCCAATTCTAAGGAGAAAAAATTTCGACTTTATATAGCAATTCTGACTTTATAACTTGCAATTCTGACTTTATATCACACAATTGCGACTTTATATCACGCAATTCTGACTTTATATCTCGCAATTCTGAGAAATAATGTTAGAATTGCGAGAAGTAAACTCGCAATTGTGAGAAAAAAAGTCAGAATTGTGAAAAAAGTCGCAATTACCTTTTATATTTTTCATTCTATGGCGGAAACAAGCTTCCATAAAAAACAGTTTAAAGTTGGTGCACACTGTAGAGAAAGAAAGACCAGTTGACGTTTTTACCTACAAGAAGCTTTGCTTAAAATAAATGAATGTCCTTTCCTGTGTTTCTCAGCATCACACACTAAGCAGCAGAGCGACCCCTGCAAGAACCCATTTTGCTGGCCTCTCTCTGGTCTTAAGGCTGAAGGTCCAGATATACGTGTTAGCACGTAGTTTGGTTTTATAAACGGGGCATTCGTAGGTATTGCGCATCTCTTGGCGGTCGTTCGGGATGGCTCGAACAGCTATAACAGGCATGCTGGGAGTCAGTTCCTTCAGGCGTGCTTCTGCGATTGTCCCACCCTGAATATCCCAGCGTGCACCTGCCGTCACAAACACGGACTTTAGAATCAAATGAGCATTTTCCATCAGTCAGTCAGAATCCTCGGTGATTGGCTAAAACTGTAGTATTTAGATGGACGATACAGACCCTCCATGTAAAGGCCATAGATGTAGGCTCCCTCTCTGGCTGGCTGGTTAAACTCCTCTTTGAACTTCTTGGTCACATCCACCGTCAAATTCATCTTGTCCAGCGGCCATTCGTTCTTGCGTGCCAAACTCTGCATCACAGCTTCAAAGACAAAGTGTGTGAGATGCAAATGAATGAATGTAAATAGGTCCTCTCAAGGAAATGTCTTGAAACTGTTCAAAAGTTTGGGGTGGGGTTGGAAGAAATGTCATTAAATTGATCTAAAGTGACGGGAAAGAAACGCTGTTACACAAGATTTGTATTTCATATAAATGCTGTTCTTTTTAAACTTTCTATAAAACAAAGAATCCCTTAAAAAAATATTAAGCAGCACTGTTTTTCAAACATTGACAATAATAAGAAATGATACTTGATCACCAAATCAGTATATTAGAATAATTTCTGGAGGATTATGTGACACTGTCATTATTCCTTAAAATTCAGCTTTAAAATATAATAGAAAAAAAAATAAAGCAAGAGAGAACTTTTTTTAAATTACAAAAAAAATCATAATAATAATTCACACAAACCCCACACTTTTGAACAATCATGTAAATTTATAATTGCTCTAATACTTTATATATAAATATATATGTATATATATATATATATATATATATAAGCTTCTTTGTGTTTTACTGCACCTGTTAGAAACGACTGAGGGTTAAATAAACCAGAGATCCAGACCACACTAGGCAGAGAGAGATCATGAGTCCAACTATCTAACTCTCTACAGCGCAGTAACACGTCATTGTACCTGATTGGACACACACACAGAGAGACATCAAATATACAGATCATAAAAGGCATGAGGCATCATAAAACAGTACAACGATTAAATACTTCCAAAACATAGTGAGTTGCCCAGCTAAGATCTAATATCTACATTATACCTACAATACAACTCTCTTAATATCATAATAATATTTTATTTCAGCAAATTGCCAAGACAACATCTCTCATTTTGGGTCTCATTCATGAAACACGAGCAGAACGAATTTATGTGTAAATCGTGTGTAAAGTGGTTCTGGCGTAAATTTTCGTATTTTTCAAATGTTAGTTGCTACGAAAAAAATCTACACCTGCTCCCGGCCACGCGTAAATAGTGCGGTTAACATCCGAACGTTTTGCTCTTTTAATCGGGTACATATTTAGACAGCATTTTGTAAAAAATATTTTATATAGTAATTACATAAGGTTTTTCTTTTTACTTTTATTATGAGAGCCAGTAATAGGATCTGGTGATCAATGGCGGCCCTTCTCCAGTTTGAATACGATTTTTCCGAAGTGAACTGATTCATTTTTTGCTCTTTATGAGCAAATCACTCTCATATTTACTCGTAAATTCACAAATGTTTCATGAATGAGACCCTTTGTACTCAAGTTGAGGTACTAAAAAAAGTACAAAAGCACACAACAAATTTACTAAAACTTTAAAAAGAAAATGCTAAAAATTAAAATATGAACATGAATTGCATGAATGATTCTGCTTACCACTGTCCGAGGCTGTATATAGAGGGGTAGGCCAGTCTGGTCCAGGTGTCAGGAACATTATCAAAAAACAAAGCGGTCTGTATCTGCTCCATCTCGGATGAAATTGCCAGCTCTCCCTGCCAGAGAAAATAAGGTTTACGCTAACAGTCAAAAAGTCCTAAACAAGAAGAGGCCGTGACCAATTAATCTGAGATCAATCGATACTTCCAACAACAGCACACCTTCAGCCCCAGGTCCAGCTCTTTGAGCGAGCGTCTGATTTCATTGAGGAGCATGTTCATGCGCTCACACTCCTGCAAACACACCAGAATGTAGGGCGAGCGCTCGGCTGTTTTGGACGTGATGTCAGACATGTTGTACTCTTCTGGTAGCTTCTCCAGGATGTCATCCAAGATCGTCTTCACCTGAAACGACAATGGCTTAAACCTTTGTAGGAAGCTGTCCGTCACCACAACCAATGATCTTTCAAAAGCTCCGAACCAGACCTTCTCCTCGGTGGTCTGTGAGGCTCCTTCACCCATGTTGGAGTCTCTGTACTGCAGCTCCAGGAGAGTGTGGAAGAGGCTGTCTGACGTCACTGTAAGAAACTCAATCTCAGCGTTTGGATGAAGCCCATAATGCACTGGGCTTTCGTGGGGCAGCATCTCATCTATGTACGCATGATAGCCTTGGTAATCCAAGTTAGAAGGCACAACTAATCCTGGGGCCAGTGACAACTTCCTGTCGAACTGAAAGGACGATGAGTTAGTGTTTGCGAGATGAAATGTTTATAATTGGGATCAACCAATGTTGAGAATCAAATCATCCAATTCAGATAAACCAGATTATTATTTTCATGTTTTGGCCAATAAATGGAAGATAATACAATTCAATAGTAGTACTTTACAATAAGGTTCAGAAGTATTTTTCATAGTTCATTTTATTTACAAATACATTAGGAGAACAAAAAGTTGTATCTGTTAATATATTGTTTAATGGAACTGAGCTGACATGGACTAATAAATAAACAGATGCATTTTTATTAATAAATATTTATAAATAAAGTAATAAATTAGTTAATGCATTAATTAATAGGAGCTTATTGTAAAGTGTTACCAATTCATTACTATTTTGTTTACTATCACTATATTTATTATATATATATATATATATCATTACTATTACTATATTTAAAATACAACACTAAAAATCTTTTAAATCTTGCTAAAGGTAATGTACAGTCTGAAAAATGTATATTATTTTACAGGTTTGCTAAAATTTACATTCACCTGTTATTAAATTAGTAGTGTTTTTAAAGATTCGTTTTAAATTACAATTGGACAACAGCTGAAGTAGCCTAAAATGTACAAATACGGCAAATGCATATGAACGTATATTTTTCAATTTTGAAAAATACAGACATTAATAAAAAATAATAATAATAATAATGGCCAATAACCAATTTGGTTTCAATATATAGTCCATCCCAATAAAAAAACAAGATCAATCATTTTAAATGCTAGAAGTGGATTGGAGCATCACAATAATGTGAAATATAAAAGAGAGATAAACAATCTTTTGTATACGTATTCTTTGTAATAATATTTTTTTTCTATTATCTAGCACTAATTTAATCAAAATCTTAAATTAAGTGAATATCCCACATCAGCTGATACATCATCTGGACTGATCAATCAAATAAAATATTACTATTCTGACTTGTATTTTACAAAATACAAGTATGACTTGTATTTTACTTGTCTTGGTATAATTTGTTGAGTGTTTGTGCAGTCATTCAGTGTGTGTGTGTGTGTGTGTGTGTGTGTGTGTGTGTGTACACCTGATTAGGTTGCATGTATTCTTCCAGGTAAGTTCTGCACAGTCTCCTGTCCCAGTCATCAGTAATGTGACCTCCATACATGATCTCACCAAACAGGTAACGAAGGTCTTCCCATGGTACCTGTGCAACACAGGTTTGTTTACATGGCTTAGACTCAGTACTATACACACTCTCTCACCATATCAGTAGCTCTTCCCAGAGCCGGCCCGAGCCTTTTGGGGGCCCTAAGCAGAATTTGATTTGGGGGCCCCTCCCATGACGCGGAGTCACCTGTGTTTGACGATTATTGACACAAATGTCACGCAATAATGATACATTATAAATGAATACACTTAGGTTATGTATTAGGCTACAACAAAATTAATACTTAATAAAAAGAAAATAGATGCCTACTTAAATAAAAAAAGTTTTAACAGTCTTAAAACTGTCTCAAAACATATAAAAGAAATTATTTGCTAAAATTATGACAAAACTGAGAAACATAACAACAAGCCTATTGTTGAAAACTAAAAATATTTGTCCTACTATTTCTCAACTGTCTCAATACAGTGTAACTGTCCTTAAAAGCTTTATTATTATTATTATCGTAAGAGACTTTGTTAGATATTACATGACATAATCCAACAAAGTCTGTTACTATAATACCGGTAATGATGTTCTGGCGCTCGTTGTATGTGTGTATGCAATGTGTTTTTCCCCTCGGGGCTTGCCGTAAATGGGTCGTGCGCAGGCTGCGCACTTGGTAGGCTCAGAGAATGTAGGCTACTGGAGTGTTGTATGGCAAGCCGTTTTAGCTTAAATTGTACTCAGCCTTAATCGTCATTATTGCATTTTTACCAGTAAGAATTCAATTAGAGAGCTTTACAATTTAATTCCTACTAGTAGCAATTACAATTATAGAGCTCTCTAATTAAATTCGTACTAATAACAATTACGATTAGAGAGCTCTTTAATTAGATTTTTACTAGTAAGAATATAATTGCAAAGCTCTTTAATTGAATTGCAGAGCTCTGCAATTGCATTACTAGTAAGAATTACATTAGAGAGCTTTATAAATCAGTTTTTACTAGTAAGAATTACATTAAGAGAGCTCTTTAATGCAATTATTACTAGCTTTGATTTTTACTAAGATTTTTATTACTAGCTTATTACATTCAAGATGATTAAGTTACCGATGACACAATAAAGTCTCCATTTACAACCAGGTAACGTTAGCCTATAATACCGGTATTGTGTTTTATGCATACGAATATTTTTGCTACTTAAAAGTGATCTTAATGTCTTTTGAAAGTAAAAGTTAATAATATTTCAGTAATTCATAGAGGTAACGTTAATGGAAGAATTGGAAGGAGCGTTTAGTCTAAAACTATTTTCTGTCATTTGTGTTTCTTGCAATGTTTGTGCTTGTAATATCGTTTTATGTTGACAGACCATGTTTTTACACCAAATATTTCAGGTAATTACTCTGGTGCTGATGCTCCGTGTAAAGGACACAATCTGGCAACTATTGAAGCAAACATAAACCTGCAGAGGTGAATGGACATGGGAGCTAAAGAGCCTTGTAAGTGGTTTTGTAACTTATGTTGTAAATCTTCATAGAATTACCTTTACATTATAGTAGGCTACAGATTATAGTAATCTTGTTCAAATGTTAGGAAATAATTTTGTTGGTTTAAGAAAGCCAACATATTGTTAACCTATTTACACTATTATTATTATTATTATTATTATTATTATTATATCTGAGACGTAAATGTTCAACTCTTAACTCCTAGAGCTTTAGTGCTAAAAGCACAGACCATAAAGGATCTCATCCAAAAGACCCATGATTTACACACCCGCCACATCCTAGGTGTATATGACATTCTTCTTACAGACGAATACAATCGGAGTTATATTTAAAAAAATGTCCTGGCTCTTCTGACTTTTAGAATGGCAGTGAATGGCAGTCAAGGCGCATCCATCCATGATAAAAGTAATCCACCACATGACTTATAAAGGCCTTTTGAAGCGAAGCATTTGTGTAAGAAAAATATCAATTTTTAAAACTTTATTGGATTAAGATATTGGATAGAGTTCTACATGTAATGTTGGGCATTTACTGTATGCAGAACTTCTAATAATTTATGTGGATGCCATTCATAAACCTGTTAGATTTTGATGTTTTAGTTTTGAGATTAATAAAAGTGTATGCTTTAACAATGTTATAGCTAAGCATTTTGGGGGGGGGGTTTAAGAGAACATTTTGGGAACAAAAATAAACTTCTGCTAAAAACTTTATAAGAAAGTTAGGTGATAATGTTTTAAAAATGTTATGATTAAACCTTTATAGAAAGTCATCACAAAACATTTTCAGAGTGCTCTTAGAGAATGTTATGCCATCTTTTAAGAGAACATTCTGGGAACAAAAAGAAAACTACCCACTGAAAATGTTATAAGAACGTCAGGGAATAATGTTCTAACAGTGTTAGCATTAAACATATTTAGAATGTTTTTAGAGAATGTTATTAGAACTTTTAAGAGAACATTCTGGGAACAAAGAAAACTACCTGCTGAAAATGTTATAAGAACGTCAGGGAATAAAGTTCTAACAATGTTAGCACTAAACATATTTAAAATGTTTTTAGAGAATGTTATTAGAACTTTTAAGAGAACATTCTGGGAACAAAAAGAAAACTACTCGCTGAAAATGTTGTAAGAACGTCAGGGAATAATGTTCTAACAATGTTAGCACTAAAACTATTTAGAATGTTTTTAGAGAATGTTATTAGAACTTTTAAGAGAACATTTTAGGAACAAAAAGAAAACTACCCGCTGAAAACATTATTAGAACACTGCATGGTAATGTTCTCAGAACATTTTTAGAACAAAAAAAAATTCTAGCTGGGATAGTCCACTTTGGAAAATGTGTAGATGTCACGGTTTAACCCCCTCAAACGTGAAACTTACACGTTTGCGTTAACACGCCATTGGAGAGATATCCGGATGTTTATTCGCCTCTGCCATAACGACTCATTGGTGTAAAATTTTGTTTTATTTACGATCACTGGGAAATGTTCTATTATTTAAAATGCAAAAAAAAAAAAAAAAAAACATTTATTATTTTCAAGGTGAAAATGATTCATTTGCACGGATCCACGCCGAAGAAAACGTCTAAATGTCACGCAGCTTCAATGTTAATGAAGCAGCCTACTGAGTAAAATGTCTATTTTTTCGGCGTCCCCCCAGCACCTCGTTTAAGCAAAAGGTACGCTAAAAACAACGTATTACATCGACGTTAAACCACGTTAACCGTGTTAACCATAACCTTTTAAATACTCGACCTAGTTCCATTGCTTAGCAACGGGAAGAAACTCCTGTAACTTCAGTGCCCAACCCGTATCACGACAAGACGTGAAATAATCAGGTTGGTCCAATTTGGAAAACGTGTAGATGTCACGGTTTAGTTTAAACTCAAAACCATAAATAGGGCTATTGTGTCAAATTATATTTCTATATTTGTTTTTCCAACAAATAAAGCCAAACCTGCAATAAAACCCCGTCAAATACACACTTAAACTCAATAGATGCAGTGGCTCAGTTGATAAAGCGTTGGGCTTTAATCAAGAAGACCTGAGTTCGATTCCCATACTTGCGTTAAATTGTTGTGATTATATCAAACAAAGTGGCCTAAACAATATTTCTTCAACCCGGTTTCGTGACAAGACGTGAAAAAATCACGTTGGTCCACTTTTGAAAACGTGTAGATGTCACGCTTTAAACCCCCTCAAACGTGAAACTTACACTTAAAACTTACCATCACGACCTATTGGTTTTCATTAAACCGAGAAAAATGGAATTTTCTTTTATTGACGATCACTGAGAAATGGTCTATTATTTAAAATGCAAAAAAAAAAAAAAAAATTATTATTTTCAAGGTGAAAATTTCATTTGCCTGGATCCACGCCGAAGAAAACGTCTAAATGTCACATTTTTAATGAAGCAGCCTAAATAGTCCACTTTGGAAAATGTGTAGATGTCAGGTTTTTATTAAACCGAGAAAAATGGAATTTTGTTTTATTTACGATCACTGAGAAATGTTCTATTATTTAAAATGCTATATATATATATAGGGCCTATATATATTATTTTCAAGGTAAAAATGATTCATTTGCCTGGATCCACCCCAAAGAAAACGTCTAAATGTCACGTTTTTAATGAAGCAGCCTAATGAGTAAAATGTCTATTTTTTCGGCGTCCCCCCAGCTCCTCGTTTAAGCAAAAGGTACGCTAAAACAACTTATTACATCGACGTTAAACCACGTTAACCGTGTTAACCATAACCTTTTAAATACTCGACCTAGTTCCATTGCTTAGCAACGGGAAGAATTACTCCTGTAACTTCAGTGCCCAACCCGTATCACGACAAGACGTGAAATAATCACGTTGGTCCAATTTGGAAAACGTGTAGATGTCACGGTTTAGTTTAAACTCAGAACCATAAATAGGGCTATACTGCCCTCTTGAGTCAAATTATATTTCTATATTTATTTTTCCAACAAATAAAGCCAAACCTGCAATAAAATCCCGTCCAATTCACTCTTGATCTCAACAGATGCAGTGGCTCAGTTGATAAAGCATTGGGGTTTAATCAAGAAGACCTGAGTTCGATTCCCATACTTGCGTTAAATTGTTGTGATTATATCAAACAAAGTGGCCTAAACAATATTTCTTCAACCCGGTATCGTGACAAGACGTGAAATAATCACGTTGGTCCATTATTGAAAACGTGTAGATGTCACGGTTTAAACCCCCTCAAACGTTAAACTTACACTTAAAACTTACCATCACGACCTACTGGTTTTCATTAAACCGAGAAAAATGGAATTTTCTTTTATTGACGATCACTGAGAAATGGTCTATTATTTAAAATGCAAAAAACAAAAAAAAAAAAAAAAAAAAAACATTTATTATTTTCAAGGTGAAAAGGATTCATTTGCCTGGATCCACGCCGAAGAAAACGTCTAAATGTCACATTTTTAATGAAGCAGCCTAGTCCACTTTGGAAAATGTTTAGATGTCAGGTTTTCATTAAACCGAGAAAAATGGAATTTTGTTTTATTTACGATCACTGAGAAATG